TCACACTCTAACAGGTCAGTCCTGGAGTAATAATAATCGGTTATGTAATGAGACTAGAAGATAGGGTACAAAAATGGTTCCCAGATGCTAAGACCCGTAATTAATAGCAGTAATGGAAAATTTATTCTCCATAAAACACAACAAAAAATCTATGAAAAGGATTTTTTTTTGTCCTATGATTTTGTTTTCTAATTCACCAGCCAGGCTGCGTGGTTCTACAATTAGTCTATCTGACCACGACCGGCTCCAGCTGACGGGCCGTGCTGCTGACGTCATCGGGTCGGGCTAACAACGCTTTAACGCAGAGGTTCTAAAACAAGGAATAAACTTTTCTCGACAGTGGCGGGGCAAGACAACTTAAATTTTAACTTTTAAGTATCTACAGGCCTTCTTGAATAATTTCAAAATTTTTAGCCGACTTTTCTTGATTATTGCCGCGGCACCCCTGGCATACGCTCACTGCACCCCAGGGTGCCTCGGCCCCCAGTTTGAGAACTGCTGCGTTAACGCATTATTAGCCCGACCCGGTGACGTCAGCAGCATGGCCCGTCAGCTAGAGCTGGTCGTGATCTGACCCTCAAGTTAAGCTTTATAACAGGCCAGTTATGAACTCAAGTAAGGCTGTCTAATACTCCAGCAAGGTTATGTCATTCTACAGTAAACTCCAGCCACATACAAGCCATAATTTGAAAATCTGATAAACTGAAATATTTATAAATACTTGGGTGCAAATTTCAACTGCTCCAAAATGATAAGAGAAGAAATACAATCTGGAAATAAAGTATACTGTGAACTTCGACATCTGCTAAAGTCACAGTCTCTATCTTGCAATACCAGGATCAAAATATATATAAAACATTGATAAGTCCAGTTGTTTTAATGGCTCTGAAACTTGGGGTTTAACTAAAAGAGGTGAAACCTTACTAAAAATTTTTGAAAACAGTGTTTTACGAGGTATTTTTGCACCCATCAGAGATGCAATCAGTGTGAAATTGAGGGTGAAAAGCAACATAATGAGAACAGAGAGGTAAATAATAACTTTATACAAAAGGGAGATGAATGGTTGTAGACCATGAGGCAGGCCAAGAAGAGGATGAAGAGATAAAATCCAGACAGACTTCAAACACTTGTTGTCACCAACTGGAAAGAGAAGGCCAGCCAGAGAGATGAATGGAGGCGGGTTATGTCTACAGCAATGAACCTCAAGGGCTCAGAATGCTGAAAGATAAGAAGAATTCTACAGTAAGGATGCCTGATTCTAGAATTTGGTTATCTAATTCTTCAGTTATGTTACCTGTTTCTACAGTTTGATTACTTAATTCTTCAACTAGGCTATCTAATTCTACAGCTGGGCTATCTAGTTCTATAATTAATTACCTTAATTCTAAGAGGTTAATTAAGTTGCAATTAAAAATGGTTACAAGTGTATGTAATAAGTGTCAACCATTAATATATGTTTAAATTCTTTTTCAGACATTACTGATAATGAGACATATGATGTACGGTTAGCAGCACGTACAGTAAATGGAACTGGGCCTTACACAGGATGGAAGTCTGTGTTTGTACCACAGAACAGTGATGAAGGTGAGTATGAGATATTTTTTTGTAGGATGGGATCTCATTGTAACAAACAGAGCTGTAGGTGAGGGTAAGATGTTGTAGGAAATGATATCAATATAACAAACAGTGCTTAGGCTGAGGTGCAGTTACTTATTATAGTTATATTATGTTATATTATCATGTAGAATAGTGTTGTATGTAAAGAAGAGTTGCATGTTGCAGTATGTATTTTAATAAATGGTATTGTAGTTGAGGCTGTTGGATATTGTAGTATCTGATCTTATTGTAACATATAGTGCTAAAGGGTGAGGATTAGATACTGTAGGAAAAAAGGACCTAGATCCCAATAAAACTTTTTTTTTGAAGTATAGAGGGTGATTAGATCGTTTAAAAGTGAGAGGACTGACTTAATTGCACTAGGTTTTGTCCTATATAGTTCAGTCTCTGCATGCAGAGCAACTGTTTGTCTGCCTAGAGTATTGCACAAAGTCTGAGCAATGACTTTTAGCGATTGCCCCAAACCACTTTTACTTCAGAACTAAAGAACGGAGTGATCTGCAAAGTGCAAAGCTAACCACTTCATCATCATCATGTGCCCTGCTGATAAGTGTAGTTTCTCCATCTTACACCGTGACCAGGGAGTGGGGATCAGGCCTTTGCTCTTGACTCACCCCTAGCGTAGCCATCCAGGTATTTTCTTCTCTACCTGCCCCTTATTCTTTTCTTAACCAGTGTTACCAGTTATTATCATGTTGTTTAGTCCATTTCCTCTCCTAAAATGTCTGAGAAAATACAGACTGCCTTTGTCTAACTTCTCTAATCAATTTATAATCTTAACCTGTCTCAAGGAGAATTGCCTATGTTTTTTATTTTTAATCATTTCATGATATTCTTTACTTTCTTCTTCTATTAAAAAACCCAAAAGAATCTCGGCTTTCAGGAAATATTTTTCAGCTTGTCTGCTTAGTCCATGTCTCACGTCCATCTAACAACAATATAAATATATAGCAAATTAAAATGTTTTCTCACTGCTGTTGATACCATTTCGCCACTGATATGTATTTGTACTAATATGCATGTTAGTCATCAATATAAAAAAAGCTGATTATATATATATATATATATATATATATATATATATATATATATATATGACACTCAACAGTGAGGAGAACATATGAACAAGATGAAACTGTACCTGAGCAAGAGACCATTGTGACCCCTACAAGTCAAGGACTAAATTTGAGCGACCACCTTAAACTTGACCTTGTAGTCCCACCACCCTCAGATGTCAAGGTTGTAAATAAGACCAGCACAAGTATATTTTTGGTTTGGTCGGTGGATAAGATCCCAGAATGCTGTCCTGTTGTAGCTTACAAGATTGTCATTAGCAACTATAATGGTAAGCTCAACAAATATACAGTGTGGTAGGTTCATCATCATCATGTGCCATGCCAGTAAGTGAAGGCTAGCATGTTTTACTATCTCACATGATCATCAGAATCCCAGATCAGTTCAATGTTTTTGTTCTGTCCCATATATTTGGCCAGGCTATCCAGGTATTTATCTCTTTACCTTCCTCTTGCTATCTTTCTGTCAATCTTGCTAGTTGTTACCTAGTTCTAGAGTCGATTGCTTCTCATAACATGTCCAAAAAACAGTAACTTGTGTACGTCTAATTTGTCTAATAAATTCACAACCTTTATCTGTTTTGATGACCAAAAAGATGATGGAGAGATAATGTCCAGAGAGACCTACAAACACTTGGCATTACCAACTGGAAAGAGATGGCCAACCAGAGAGACGAGTGGAGGCGAGTGGAGGCGGGTGATATCTGCAGTAATGAACCTCAAGGCTTTGGAATGCTGAAGAAGAAGAAGATGATAATTATTCTGGAAATCACATGGCTCATAGTTAGATAGTTAGTCAATATATTATTCTCATTACACATCAAACTATTCAGTCCATATTTACTCTTTATCCCTTCTGCAGTATATCTTTAAGTGTGTAGCACCTAATGACACCAGTTCCATGTTGGTTTACTATTCTTCTTTGACCCCTGTCAAGCACTCTTTTTGTGTGTGTGTGGTCCTAATCCCTTATAACATCCTATTCCTGCAGTCTATTCAAGAATGTTGATTCAAGGACATCCTTTGATCTATTTAGTTAATAGAACTCGTGAGGACATTCAGTATAACATCAGTATAACAGTCTAACTCTGCTCAACCACTTTCCAAAGAAGCTCTGTCTGCCTACCTGCCTGCCTGTCTGTCTGTCCGTCCGTCCGTCCGTCTGTCTGTCTGTCTGTCTGTCTGTCTGTCTGTCTGTCTGTCTGTCTGTCTGTCTGTCTGTCTGTCTGTCTGTCTGTCTGTCTGTCTGTCTGTCTGTCTGTCTGTCTGTCTGACTGTCTGTCTGTCTGTCTGTCTGTCTGTCTGTCTGTCTGTCTGTCTGTCTGTCTGTCTGTCTGTCTGTCTGTCTGTCTGTCTGTCTGTCTGTCTGTCTGTCTGTCTGTCTGTCTGTCTGTCTGTCTGTCTGTCTGTCTGTCTGTCTGTCTGTCTGTCTGTCTGTCTGTCTGTCTGTCTGTCTGTCTGTCTGTCTGTCTGTCTGTCTGTCTGTCTGTCTGTCTGTCTGTCTGTCTTCAGTTTATAAAAAATTAGAAGGCAAACAAGAAAAATGTTGTCTGTAGCCTTAAAACTTCTTTTATGTTTCCATGTTTGATATTTAGAGTTAATTATAAATGTGCCCCAGGGGTTGTTCTCTGTGTGGATATAGCTAAAATAAAAGTTTGTGGGATATCCGTGACAGATTCATCTGAATATGAGATAGTACGAGGGACAGCACATGTACATCTGATGAGCCTAACACCAAGCACCCTGTATGGAGTCACCATCACAGCCCTAAGCACAACTGGTGAAAGCTCACCTTCAAAGGAAACTCTTTTTACTACGTTAGAGGCAGGTTTGTATAGAAGTATTATTTTCTATAGCATATTACTTGAGTAAAATAATTAGAGGTTGTCTTGTATAGAAGTGCCATTATTCTAAAATGTTACTTGTGTAAAGAGGTCAGCATTTGTAGGTTGGAGATTATGAATGCAGTTTCATTGAAGGAGTCACTGACACCTTGAGACTGCATAACATCACGGCATGTGAAGCGACAGAGCGCGCCCTGGCTCGGCTGCCGATCATCTGATAAACTCCAACGCCTAGTGGCATAAGCAGATATTGGCAAAAGAAGAAAGAAGAATTTGAAGATGAATCTGATACAGGTGGCTATTTCAACCTACTTCTCACTAATACACCAACCAAGTCTGCACAACTGGGAGGTGGGGGCTAGCTTATGTGGTTGCAGGACAAGAGCAGACTACTAGTTTTCTTCTTGGAGAACTGCCTCCAACACTGCTGGCTGGAGTGTCAGGCATGACCACACTTTACAGAGTAAAGAAACAAGCCTACTTTATACCATTAACAGTTTAAACATACCATTAACAGTTTAGACAAACTATTAACAGTTTAGACATACTATTAACAGTTTAGACATTCCATTAACAGTCTAGACATACCATTAACAATTTAGACACATTTTTTTTTTGGCAGTGCCTCCTTCAATTGTATTTTTCAATGCCACACAACTGATCCTTGGTGGGGATGCCCAGCTGACCTGCACAAGTCATGGCCTTGACATCCTCCAGATAAAGTTTTACATGTCTGGTAGTGTTGAATTTGATGCCAACAAGGAACATATTGTCCAGGTATGTTCTTTCATACTTCTCGAAGTGAAGTTGTAGTAGTCAGGCCTCCACTTCACTGCAAAACAGGTTCCTCGATAATTACTCAGTTCATGCACAAAACCAGTGAAAATTACATTAAATGCCACAGCCATAACAAAATTGGTGAACAAACAATTAATCACTGCAGAATCCAGAAACATGCACACATAGTAAATGCATAAAGCAGTAGAGGTGTCAGCACTAACGGTCACCACCAGAATTGCAATTTATCATTGATGGAATTAATCATTCAAGTTAAGCTATCTCGTTGTAATGATAATTCATAGGGCACTAACCAGATTGAACAAAGACCTGCAACCATTCATTTTCTCAGTATTATGACTTAGACACACACACACACCCCAAAAAGAACAACAACTGTGGATTACATATATAGATACTGCATTAGCAAACCATGACCAGAAGCAACAATTACTTCAATGTTTTAATGGACTGCCTGCCTATCCATCATATGAAGTGAGGTTTTACATTACCATCATGTAGCAGGTTCTTTGCAGAAAATTGTTCTCATAACAGCAGGCTGAAAAGGCAGTCAGCTTTTGCCCTCTTTCCTGCCTCATGAACTTCAATGGTTAGCTTGACCACTATTGTGCTGACTGACCCCTGGGCAATTGGTAAGATTCTGATTGGTGGTCTGTGATGGAGCAGTGTTTTGCAGCAGACTTGATACACAATGATGATGATTGTTTCAGCACTTAAAAGGAACACACCAATGCCTGCCTTTTCATGGACTATCTTGAACATCAGATATGTTATGCATATGCTAAGCTCCCCTAGCTCTGCAGGAAGTATATCGATGACTGCATTGGTGTCTCCTATACACCCTTGTTGGAACTGCAGGATTTCATTGATTTTTTTCTCTGGCTTCCATCCCAGCATCCAACTGACTTTCAGCATTTTGTTTCATCTGTGCATTTTCTGGATCTCACTGACACTTTATATTCTAAAGGCCTTAGCACCTTGGTGTACTGTTAACCTACTAATCTCCATGCTTTTCTTCTCTACACATCCTCTCATCCTTCTTCCTGCAAGGACTTCATTCCTTTCTCCCGCTTCTTTGCCTCCGTAGACTGTCAGGTCAATGGCAACTTCCTTAATAGGGCCCTGGAAAGGCTTCAGAATTACCCTGAACACATCTTATATACTACCTATCAATGATCACAATCTATCAGTCATACTGAGGTCCTCACTTCCAAACCTAAACATCACCATAACCGACCTATCCTCTTACTCACCTACCACCCTCACAACATCCGTGCCTAAAAATATTATCTCCAGGCATCTCTCCATCCTACCATCTGACACTGCCACCAGCACAATTTTCTCTGAAATTTTCCTAGTGGCCTACAGACATGACCATAACCTCAAGGACTTTCTAGTCAAGAGGTGGTTACACCCTGCTCCTGAGTCCCACCTGGGCATGGTCTCCTCCCATAGACCTGTACATGAGACCGGTCCATATGTGGCTCAGGCAAACAGTCTGGGATTCCTCAATGCCACATTCCAAATACATAAAGTCTTCTATTGCACAAGCCACAATTGCTATCATCTGCAAAAAATCTGTCATAAAATACACCGACAAAATGGAGCTACGGCTAGCCAACAGATTCAGACATCTTTTGGACGTGCAGTATGGTGCCCCCAAACCAGTACCATTGCCCTTCAGTTGTAAGCATCACCAAGGTATCCATGACATGGAGGTGATAGCCATTAAATCTAGTAACTCCAGCGACAGTCCATAAGTCTGCTGAGAATCGCGTCATTTTTACCTTAAGTACAAATACATCTAGTGGACTTAACTGTCAACACACTTTCAGCTGATATCCTTTAGTCATGGCTTTAAATTGGTGGTGGCTTCATAATTCTGTCATTCAGAGGCCATACATCAAAGTGGCTGCTATCGGAAATACATAGGCTAAATTAATTAACTTTGTGTTTTCTTGACTGTACATGTAGTTTTGTTGAGTTATGTAATGTGCTGATAAAGGTTTTGTAGCTGCATTGTTCACTTTCCGTTTGTGTTTTGTTACATTGTGAAGCTCAATCATCTACTTTTCATTGGTTTTTTATCTTTTCATTCATCTCTGTACTGGTTTTCTCTGTCTAGCTTCACTTACTTTTCACAATTTGTGTGAAACTGAAGATAAAAAAAAATAAATTGTATATCTGATTTGAAAAATTATGACTGATTTTTCAGATAACTTCCGATTCAGATATTGCTGAACAAGTCAAAATTGTCTCTGGCTTCAAAAATGAAGACACACTGACATCATCTTTATTTCTGCACAAAGTCAGACGGGAAGCAGGAAGAGAGTACATCTGTATTGCCAGCAATAATGTTGGATCAGACAAAAGTCATCTTTATTTGCCAGTATATGGTATATTTAGTTTATAGTGAGAAATAATGTTGTTTGAACAAAAAAGACACAAACAACACATTATACCAGATACCATTTTTTTTAAAGAAGCAGCTGAGCACTACTCAAAGGTTGACTATAAGACTCATTTCCAATGCAGATTCTGTGGGCTTATTTTGAGGTTGGTGGTTTGGGGGAGGGGTGGGGAGGAGAAAGGACCCACTGCCTCCTAACAAATGTCATTCTTAGAGCCAGGAAAGGTTTCACATCACTTAAGGCATTGGCAGCAGCCAATATTGAACAATGCCTATCTTTCCTTCTCCATCAGGAGCTTGTGTAAGGTGTCAGACGATAGCCTGGGTCTCCTCACTGTCAGCACAACCCAGTTAGAAAGACTGGGCCCAGTCGAAAATGAGGCCATGAGACTGATCCTCAGCTGCACAAAAGACACCTCTTGCAACAACATGCTGCGTGTCCTGGGCATGCTGAAAATGGCTGCCAGGCACAAAGTTGCACAGGTAGAGGCTTACCACCCACTGCATAGTACAAATAATAATAAGAATTCTACAAGTGAGCATTCACATCAAGGGTCCACCGTTCATCAGTAGAAAGATCCCTTGTTGACAACTGTTTATGCCTATTACTTCCTATACAATCTCAGATGGTGGGTCGGCCTGAGTCTTGAAGCCAAGCCACGATCATTCCCTGCTGCACTTAATCTGACTCTCAAACAGGAATAAGACTATTTGGTGACTTTGCAGCAACAGGTATTTTGAGACTGGTGTTATATTTTTTGCTGTAGTAGCAAATTAGCCGTCTGACTTCACGACCATTGACAAGCTTGTGGTTGGTTCATTGGAGAGTTGTTAGACTTTGGCATTTGGCAGAGATACACTGGAAGACACTTCTCTAACACTTTGGCTTTAAGGGATAAGAAGCTCCTTTCCACTAGGGGCTCAGACCAGTCTACCGAGGCCCATCCCCCACAACGTTCCATTGCCTCCAGAGCCAGCTGAAAGCCCTTTCTGCTGCTTCGCCCAGTTGAGTTGTATCAGTTGGTATGTGAACTAAGTCACTGTAAAAAATGGAGGGATATAACAGTAGTCATCCTTGGCCTTTCTAAGGTGACAATCCCACTGGGGAGGTACTGCAGGGATAAGATTCCTGCAGCTGTAGACACAGAGATAATGGCACTTATAGATCATCATTCACACTCAGAGGACATCATTATCTACACTGATGGATTAAGGTCAGCATGGGCATTCACAGCACAAAGGATGTATATAATAATATCCTCTGTAAATAAAAGAGGATAGTGTTGCTTAGCAGGCAGCTGCATCAAGCATGACCATGGAGACAACAGCCACATCCAGAGAACCAGAATTGGCAGCAGAACAGTCAGCCACACATGCAGTATTCTGTATCATACTCCATGAACATGCTTAAAAATATAATAGGTGGTAAATGCTCTGAATGGTTAGAAAGTATTTGAAAATTGCACTTAACCTCCACCACCTGGATTTACACACCTGGTCATGCTGGCATAAAAGGTAATAAGTGAGTGGACCAGTTGGAAAGCAATGTACTATTACATGTGGGAAGAGGCATGGACAAAGCAGGTATCATCAACACTCTGTTGACTGGGCTAGGGGATAATGACAACCCTCAGACACTCACACAGCTGTATGACCTGGGAGTAAAGCATGGTGAAACCGTCTATGCCCCCTTCAAGGTTGAGATAGGAGACATCATAACCAACTCCTCATGGGAAGAGTTAGTAGAGGTACCTTGGAATGGGTGTTGCATCGAAGGACTCAACATGCATGGGAATTCCCAGTGTGGCGTGACGTCAATTGTCATAACATAACATGTCATAAAAGGCAACCAATGATATTTTTGCTAAAATTACATGTGCTAGGCTTAAAGAGGCAGATTTAGCAGCCTAGCTGTAAACCACAATACAATGTGTCAACCACCTCTTCAGTCAAATGCAGAAGAAGCAGAAGAAAAATCAATGAAGACAGAGGGAAAGACACAACACACATACAGCCTAGTGTACTTGTTCTGTGCATAGTTACTTTGTAATACCAGCTCCACTAGAGGTTCTATTTTCAACATGCATATTTTATTGCCTGGCAAATTTCACTGTAACTTTTTAGGTGTATACTACAGAATGTAGAAAAAAAATATTAGAACTAAATGCATGAATCCTTTCACCTCTTTCAGAATTATGCAACTCACCATATGTTTCTTTGCCATTCTAAAGATACTATATTTACTGTCTTCTATTTCAGCAGATATTTTATTAACCCTTTTTGTCTGAAATACTAGTTTAACCATTTATGATCCATAGTGTCTCTGTTAAATTGCTTAAAAACATAAGATTTTACTGCTTTTTAGCACATTTCCTTGAGACAGAAGTGGTAAAAGTGACAACTGCTTATTATGAAAAAAAAAAAGGTTAAATAAAAAAGTTAATCTTTTTTCTTTATGTGTACGTATGTATTATAAAAAAAAAAAAATATCCAGAAACCATGAGTTGTTAACTCTTTGACTCGGTACTATGGATATCGCAACCCTTCTTCCTTGATTCCATAATAGATACTGCAAATCTGGGAAAAATGTTTTTTTTTTCTTCCTACTCCTGAGCGTGAACCCGGACCACAAGGGGTTCGTACCCAGGTCGCCACATAGTCAGGTTTAACCAACTGAGCTAGTGAGCCGGGCATGCATATTTATAAATAACAAACACTCTGTTGAATAATTTTTTTCTTGCTTCTTGTGATTTTAAAGCTCTTATTATCTTTCTACTTTTTTAACGTGTGGCAGTTGATACATATCTACTTCTGTATTATTTCTATACTATATTTGTAGCCTCAAGGGCTCCCCATCTGTTTATTTCTATACCAAATTGTAGCTATTTTGAATTTAAAAAACCTGGCACGTACTGGTAACTTAAAAAAAAAAAGAAAAAAAAAAATGTGTGCCACAACCAAGATGGATTTTGGCTGAAAATAACATGTGCATTTACTGCTGTCTTTGAGAATATTTCATGGTGAGGCTTCCTTAATTTTCACAGTATGACTCTCATTTCACTGTTAGAGAATGATGAGACCGGTCATTTTCTAAACTGTCCACCATGTAATTTGAAGCCCAGTATATCAAGGACTGAGAAATGTGTTCACTAATTTACTAATTACTTGAAATATTTAATTTGCTTTGTGAATGCCCTTTCAGAAACTCCACGAATAATTACATCTCATGGGATATCTGTGACGAGTGGCTCAGTGGCCCGACTGGCATGTGAGGCTTATGGTAAACCAGTGCCGGATATAATCTGGATACAGTCAACGTCTGGGACAGTCTTTGATGAAGTAAGTGTTTCATTTGAGGTTTACTTTCTTGTTTCAATTTTGTTTTGACTCCTACAGTAATATTATATGGAACTGGAACTTTAAATCTAGGAGATTTGGATACTAACAAGAATATCATAATTATTAGAGCAAAATAAAATAAGACACATAGATAAGAATAGGTCACATATCATGGAAACAAAAACATCAAATAGAAAGTTTCTGGAACTAAAAAGGAAAATAGGATCGTTAAAAGAAAAAAAATGAAACAAAAGATATATATTTACCCAGATTAGAAAGCATCAGGCTATTAAAAACCAAACTGGAGGGAAAAGTATAGGGAAGTCAGCAAGCGATATACAGAAATACTAGTGAGAGAATAAATAACATCAATAGATGGATAAACAAACATCTGGGAGAGTATATATCATCATCATTAAATGCCTTGTTGACTAGCATGGGCGATCATGTCTCACCACAGTCTGCAGTCTTCAACAGCAGGCATCAGTTCCTGTGCTGACACCCCTGTATGCCTTGACAAATGGCATGTAATATTTTTCATGTGTTGTATTTCTCAGTCTGTTTTTCTACAAATCTTTCCAATGGTCACAACATGTTCAGGTTTCTCATAACATGACCAGAAGTGATGTCTGTCTTTCTCTGATATTTGCGATAAGTTGTTTTGGGGTCCTCACCTCTTTCGAAACATTTCAGCTGCTTTTTTGTGTGTGTGGACTATCCAAAGAATTCTAAAGGTTCTTCTGTAAAACCTCAAGAAATCGAGACTATACACCTAGTATGAAGTAAAGAGTGTGTTGAAGAGAAACTGCTGGCTACCTTCATTGGGTAGACAGTATTTGACGGACTGATTAAAGTTTCTTTGTTTCTCACCATGAGCTCCACCTTAATGATTGTGTTAATACAATTTTAGTCCTTTACAAAAAATTCTACATAGGAACCAGTTATTGAATGTTTATAAAGTAACAACTTATAGCCCTTTTTCACACAAGTGCTGCATCCAGAATATGATACTAGACTTTATATTGTTATACACCAATCCACCTCTTGATGGGTGATGTAAGTCAGCATCTTGCTAGCTGCCTTTACTTCCTGGACTCCTCCCAGTATCCATTTTAGACTGTGTCGACCCGGGAGCCATATTCATTTTTGAAAAATATGTGGATTTGAACTTAAGATCTTCAGGCCTGCTGTTTGATGCTACACCATTATGGAATAAACATAAATAGTTTATTAGTAAATGTTTTTGTTCTTCATGTTTCTATGAGTGTAGAACAGACACATAAACAAATTACTTCTCCACATTGTAAATTACTTCTCCACATTGTAATTTACTTCTCCACATTTTAAACCTTCTATTCTGCACAGACACCAGAAAATGTATTTTTGGCATACAATCTGCGCTGTGTAGCTCAGCATTAGTGGATGTATACAATCTTTAGGAGTATAACATGTTGCAGCTAGAATCTCTACCATGATGCGACATTCATCTCACTGTACAAAAGCTACAAGTATGGTCTTTTCTTCTAAACTGACTGTGGCCAAAATTGAACTCTAGTACACCATTGTTAAAGATATCCACTCATTTCTGAGACACAGAGACAAACCATTTAATGAATGTCTGTAGATTATTATTAGTAATTGTCTGTATCATTCTTCATATTTCTTAGGACAATGGATACATCGGGAGTCGTCGTGGTGTAGCGGCTAGTCGCTTGCGTGCGGATAGGAAGGTCGTAGTTTTGCTATCTGGCAAAGCCAGACTTTTTTCAAAATGACCTTGACTCTCAGGTTGACCTAGTCTTGAGGGGGTACCAGGTGCAGTCCCGGAAAGTAAAGGTGCTGACCACATCACCCATCTTGTGCCTATTGGTCTATATATAAATATAGGTCTAGCCCTATATGCCCTGTATGCCTAAAAGCATGGAAAAGGGACCTTCCTTTAACAATTTTTTTTTTTAAAAATACAACGGATACATAAATATTTACTTGTTGACATTTTGCAGAGAAGCGATGTAGATACACACCACATACAAGCCACCTCGTACATACAAGACTCGTCCCATATTCGTCAGTCATTTCTTGCTGTCAGGAATAGCTCAATCCATGATGCTGGTGTTTATGCATGTGTGGCACAATCAGAAGCTGGTAGAGCAGAGTCTAAAATTGTTCTCACTGTTACAGGTAAGTAATCAATATTATGTGGTTGGAACCCTTTGTTAAACTCATTGTGTCTGTCTATATTCTCTTTATGTTATTGGCACATAGGGCATTCACAATTGTTATCCCTTACTAGAGGTGGGCTGCTTGTCTGCCCATACAATCTTATATAGGTTTACACCCCTTTATTTCCTCTCTACTGTCCCTCTCTAGCTGTCTTTCAGTCATCCATATCACTTTTTTGTTTGTTGTTGTTGAAATCTTCTGTTGTCTAGGCAGTCTTGCTGCAGTGCAGAAAGGGACATAGCCGTATAGGATATAGCCTGGTGCAATTAAGTCAGTCCTCTGCTCTTCTTCTCCTTATGCACGCTCACTGATAGCATGTTGTAGCCCAGTGTCTTGGTCTCCTGTATTTGTCTTGCGCTACTTAGATGGCTTGGGTGATGGATTTGTTCATTTCTTTTCATTTTTGAGCTGCACCATTTATCCATCTTGTTCTTGGTCTTCCCCTCACCTTCCTCCCAGAGAGAGCAAACTGAAGTATCTGGGAATTACATTTGACATGAGCCTGTCATTTAAGGACTATGTGGAGAGTGTTGTGACGAGATGCCAAAAAGGACTTAGTGCACTTAAGAGCTTGGCTGCAATTGACATATCAGCACCTGATCCTGCCAGTGGTGGATTATGGTCTGGGACTGCTTACTGTCTCAAACAGTCAGATGGACAAACTAGAGCGCATACAGAACGTGGCTATGCAGGTCATTCTGGATTGCACCAGAGACACCCCAGTGGTGTGTATGCGATACATCCTTGGTTTGCCGACGGTTGCAGGTAGGCACAAGGTGCTGCAGGTGAAGTCATATCTCAGGGTAGCTGCAGACACAGACCACCCTCTGCATGAAGCTCTGGGTGCAGTTAAGGGTCAGCGGCTGATAAGAGAGAGGTCATAGAGGGCACAGGCAGAAGACACAATCAGACAGGTTTGCATCCTTGAGAACATTAGGAGAGGAGAGGAGTGGGTCAAAGTGCCACCTGAACAGTCAGACGTGTGTAGAGTCATAATCACGCTGAGCCGGGAATGCAGAGACTGGCCAGCAGGTGCCACAGAGGTGGAAATTCAGCAATTAATTTAAGTTAATGCTCGCTCAGAGGATTTGATCATTTACACAGACGGTTCAGTGTCAAGAGGCAAAAGAAGTGCTTGGGGCTTCTTAGCAAAAGTTAATGGTAGACGTTTGGTGCAGGAGAGCCTAGCATATGATACCACAACATCCAGCTTAAGAATGGAGGTGGAGGCGGTCACTGCAGCTTTCTGCTGGCTAGAGAACACGACACACACACACATCGTGATTGTAAGTGATTCAGAAAGCATGCTGAGGAAGATCAGAACAGGTATGCTTTGTGCAGAGTGGCATGCTTCGCTGCGAAGGACACGAGTGAGGAGTATTGTTTGGATTTTTTCACCGGGGCATGCCGGTGTGTTGGGAAATGAACAGGCGGACAGACTGGCTGGCTCTGTACAACTTGGTGGAATACTGATACATGATAGGGCAGACGTGGTTAGTGCCTTGTACAATTTGGAGAAGCAGATGGATCACCAGTCTGGTGAAATTGATGCAGTTGGGGGTGACGAGAGGTTCTGGCAGATGCTCGAGGCTCAGAGGAAAGGCAAGACAGACATTTAATCAGAATGCTACTGGCACCTTTAATATCAGAACTCTTCTGCTGAAGATGGGGACGGAGCGCTTATGGGAATGCCCCGAGTGTTGTGATGTCGGTTCTTGAATCAAATCAAATCAAAATCCTCCCAGATGTTTTGCTGTAAAAAGTCTCATAAGCAGTTTTGTGTGGCTGCATTCTCACTAGATGGCCAAACCATTTCATTCTTTATCTACCAATATAATCCAGATGTGGTCTTATTTAAACTTTCTCTCTAATGCTGGTATTTGTAACCCTGTCCCTTCTTGTATTGTTAGTGAAATGGCGGATGCAGCACTTTTCACATAAAGTTATTTTCTGTTCTAGTACTTTTCATTGTCCTTGTTTGACACTGATGTCATAAAATAGGAAGGAAGATGTTATTAATAATTTGCTATGTGGTCTTTTGCCTCTTTCGCATCTTCTACCTATCACCTTTTGCTCTTCTCAACTTAAAAAGCTTTTAAATCAGTAGTTCCCAGTTAGTTAAGACCTACAGAGGCCTCATATTTTCAAAAGTTTGCTACAGACCCCAATATTTTAATAGTCATAGTGAAGAATTTATAATTCATAAATATAAGAAATACAAAAGTAACTTATTCTACAAGTGAGGGTTCATTTTTTAAATCTTTTTTTTTCTTAAGCATTCTGAGCCCTAGAGATTCACTGCTGCAGATATCACCCGCCTCCACTCATTTCTCTGGTTGGCCCTCTCTTTCCAATTGGTAACACCAAGTGTTTGTAGGTCTGGATAGTATATCTCCATTGTCTTCTTGATCTGCCTCATGGTTTACAACCATTCAACCATTCTTTTAGTTGTGCTCCAAGTTTTAGAGCCATATAAAACAACTGGACTTATCAACATTTTAAATATTTTTATCTTGGTGTTGCAAGATAGAGACTTTAACTTTAGCAGATGTTTAAGGGCATAGTATACTTTATTTCCAGATTGTATTCTAGATTGTATCTCTTCTCTTATCATGTTAGAGTAGTTGAAGTTTGCAGACAGGTACTTATATATTTTCATTTGTTTGATTTTCATATTATTGACTGTATGTGGCCAGGCTTTATATATATTTAAAAAAACATTTCCTTTAAATATAAATAATATTACAGGCCCCGTAAATGGGAAAGACTTTTAATCTGTTACCTGCAACAATTGTCTTTCAGTGCCTCCTCCTGGCCCCGTTCACAAAATTCAGACTATACCTTTGTCGCCTTCAAGGGTGTCTGTCAGCTGGCTACCTCCACTCAATTATGGCTACAGTATTGCATATTATCAGGTAGGTTTTCACGGTCGGTATCACCTTCACAAATCACCAACCTCATAATCATCATCATCATTATCATTGTCATCATCATCATCGTCGTCACCATCATGGCCATTTTAATTCCTATGACGTCGCAGGTCGACCCAGCCTAAAATGGGTACCAGGATGGGCTGTCCTGGGAAAGTAAAGACAGCCGGCGTAATGCTGACCACATTACCCACAGTGCTGATGGTCTGTAAAAATATGGGACGCTCTGCCCATATGCCTGATGCGCCGAAAGGCGTGAAAGGGGATCTTTACTTTACTTTTTACTATAACCACCATTGCCACCATTACTGAGTTCACCATTACATCATCATCATCACAAATGTATTTCATTATCACTGCCCTCATGTTCATCATTATTATCACCATTATTATCATCATTATTATCACCATTTTTATCATCATTATTATCACCATTATCAATACAAACATTATAGTTAGCCACCTTTACTTCCCAGGACATTCCCTGGTACACATTTGTAGGCTGGTTTGATGATGGAGCCAAGATCTTTCAAAAAAATCTACCTAGGTGCAGATTTAAACCAAAAACTTTCAGGCTGGCAGGCAAGCTTCTAGACACTACGCTCATGCAGCTCCTGAACTTTAAAACACACCTGAAATATCTGGAACAGTTGTATTTGAAATAATGAGGTGATAAAAAATATTCACCTTCTTCTCAACTTATGACCTTCAGCAGTATCGAAAGGAGTCATAAATAAACAGAGATGGAGTTATGCTGTTTGTAATCACTTTGATAATGTGTATATTGTTTCCTATGCATGGAAACTTATGAGACACTCGGTAGTATACACTGGCCAGGCTACCAGTTAGGGACCAATTTCTAGGATAACCACAGAGAGGTGTAAATAGGTCTTGACCACAGAGAGTTGTAGGTGGGTCTTGACCACAGAGAGTTGTAGATAGGTCTTGAGCACAGAGAGTTGTAAATATGTCTTGAGCATAGAGAGTTGTAGATAGGTCTTGAGCACAGAGAGTTGTAGATAGGTCTTGAGCACAGAGAGTTGTAGACAGGTCTTGACCACAGAGAGTTGTAGATAGGTCTTGACCACAGAGAGGTGTAGATAGGTCTTGACCACAGAGAGTTGTAGATAGGTCTTGACCACAGCAAGCTGTAGACAAGTCTTGACCACAGAGAAGTGTAGTTAGGTCTTGACCTGGAAGAGCCTTGGTCATAGCGTCTTCATTTTTTACATTCAGAATAGGAAAACATTGTTCTAAATGTTGAACACTACCTCTTACAACTGTATATGTGTATAACAGGTCAGTTACAGGAAGAAAAATGGAGGACAGCCCCAGGTCTTCAATACAACAAGGGTGAGAGCTGAGCTGCATGATCTGGAACATTCTACTGAATACCTCATAGGTAACTGAACTACCATAAAGTTTCATATAGGAAAGTACCATATAGTATGTTGCCTGAGAATTTAGGGCAGGATGGCCATGCAGATACCAGGCACTGTTCATTAGGATGTTATTTTTTCCCCCTAACAGAAACAAATCCATACCTTACAAGGATTAGATAATGAGAGCCTAGGATTCTTAACTTTTTGGCCAGTCGCTCCTCTAAATATTCTTGTTATTTTGTTAAAATCTACTTTGTGCCGGTAATCGTCACAGTTTAACAGATGATAGGTAGCCAGGCCAGGGGGCACTCAGTTGCTTGGTATGCTCTTATTTCTCCTTCTTCTTCAGCGTTCCGAGCCCTTGAGGTTCATTGCTGCAGATATCACACGCCTCCATTAATCTCTCTGGATGACCTTCTCTTTCCAGTTGGTGACACCAAGTGTTTGTTTTAAGGCAATGTATGACAGGTAGTCTTGACACTGAGGATTTAGGGCTAAATGGCTAGTGGTAAATTAATCAAGTTCGGATGTTAATTTTTGCTCCTGACATAACAAACCAAGTCTTATTTTTTCACCATAGCTAATTATTGTACCTCTGGAATATACTTCTGAATTTTTTTTCTGACTAATTGAATCAATTTCTGATGTAAATTCCAGGAGTCATAGCTGGAACAGATGACAGTCTTGGAGAATCAGGTCCTGAAGTAGAGGTCATGACCTTAACTAATGATGGCTTGCAGCCAGCAAATGTCACAGTGAAGGCATTGAATACATCAGTAAGAACTGTTTGATTCCATTTAATATTCAGTGAATGCAGATCTCCCTGAGTGGCTCCCATCTCTTATTATTATCATCAGCAGTCAGCAGGTCCTTCACAGAATGTTGCTCTTGTCATGGCACACATGAGAGTCTACCTTTTTCTAGCCAGTTCTCCAACCCTGTGTGCTTTCAGAGCCAATGCATCTTCAATGTATTGTATCCACATTCATGGGGGTCTGCCTCTGCCTCATTTTAGAAAAGCTGTATCCTACATCACCATTCTTTTCAGGCAGCCATGACATTTGACATGTCCAAAATACTTCAGTTTTTGTCAGAGGATGTTGTTTATGAGCCAGTTCTCCTTGATGCTCAAATCATGTCAGATGTTCAAATCATGTCAGATGTTTAGATTATGTTGGATGTTTAGATCATGTAGGATGTTCAAATCATGTCAGATGTTTAGATTATGTTGGATGTTCAGATCGTGTAGGATGTTCAAATCATGTCAGATGTTTAGATTATGTTGGATGTTCAGATCGTGTAGGATGTTCAGATCATGTAGCATGTTCAAATCATGTCATATGTCAGTGTTTTTATTATTCATGATTCATGGTATTCTAAGAATTTGTCTGTAGCATTTAAGTTCAAAAGCTACAATTCTTTTTTCCCCCAAGTGATTCAGTAAAAGTCCATGACACAGCCATTAAGTATGCCCAGAGTGCTGTGATGTCAATTCTGGACTCAAGTCAACTCAACTTAGCCATTAGGTTCTCATTAGAAAGATACACGATCACTCTCTCTCCCTCTCTCTCTTTCTGTCTCTCTATCTTTCTCTCCCCCCTCTCTCTCTCTGTCTTCATAGTAGGTGTCAAATCATGATTATCTTGGCATCTATAAAGAAGGTTTTTGTTTTTTTTGTCATTGATTTCCTTCTTTGCATTGTCACTGTAGATCTCTCTCCCCCTCCCCACATCCATCAGGCAACTTGAGACCATCACAATCCTTCTGTCTGCTGCTCTAAAGCTCAAACCTACAGACGCTTTCTTGCTCTCCCATTCTCCCATTGCCCTGATTTAGAAGGGAAAAAAAGGTGGGGGGGGGGGGGGGGGTGAGGTTGCGATTTACTTCACCTTGCTTGCTTTAATTTTTTGTTTTTGATTGCCTGTATTTACCACCTTTTAGGGCAGGGTATGACAAGTCTTGACACTGAGGATTTTGTACAGAATAGCTAGTAGTTAATTAAACCGGTTAGGATGTGTATTTTTGCTCCAGACAGAAAAAAAAATCATCCTGTACTGAGGACTGAATGTGGGTCTCCTGCATGAGAGTCCTGTGTTCTAACTATTCAGCCAGCAGTTGTTACTTTCATTCATTTCATACGAAACATCTTTTTAACCCTGTCATCCCAAGAAGCCACAAAACTGACCCTTCCAGTTGGAACCAATTCTTTGTAAATGTCACTTTTCTGATTTGTCAACAGTGAATTGTTTTTGAGATGCGTACTTAATGCTACCGGCTGTTCACACCTGTGCAAATGTTTAGGAGGTCAGGATGTGAATATGTTAACTAAAAATAATTTTCAGGTTTTTTTTTCTTTCACATCAAATGTTTGAGGTTTGAGGTTTGAACGATGGATCACCATCATAACACAAGGGCAGTAACCCATAAGTTCTCTGTTCTTCTTCTAACTTAAGCCTGAGTCAGAAGAACTCAGCACAGTGCACAGGTTCTGTATCACTGGCGAGGATCCTGAAATACTTTAGGTAGATTTTTAACTCCAAAATTTGTCTGGGTAGCACCGTTAGGCTACTCTTTTTGATTTCCAACTGCCAAGGGATTTTTTTTAGGTGCGCAACAATGCACATGGGCATCCGATCTCACTACCCAGAGACCAGGAGAATTGCTAGAAGTCCAAGTCCACGTGGAAAAAATGCCAGCCCTTACCAGGGATTGAACCTCTAGCACTCGAGGCGGTCACCGTGCCTCAAGACCATGCAGCTTCCTACATAAAATATTTTTAAAAATGTAAAAAACAAAAAAATAGCCAAGTTGACACAGATATTTGCAGAAGTTTCATTGATAGAGAGCAAGTAGTCATAAAATAGGTCACACAAAGCACACATCTTTCTTTTTGTTTAAGCTCCAGGGAATGTATTCTGTTTAAACCTTTACTCTGTTCATTTTATTGATTACTCCCTTTCTTTAAAAAAAGTTACCTATGTAAAATTGTTTGGATTTCTTTTGAGAATTCTCCTGGGGTCATGACCCATCTTCTTAGTGATAAGTGCTGTAGTGTGTAGGATTGTTTCAGCCACCCACTCAATTCTTGTGTGGGACTTTTAACCAGGGTATCTGATCAGAGTACCTAAGATAGGTAGAAGATGTATTAAAGAAGTTAAATGTAGAATAGCACAAGCAAGGGCAGCATTTTACAAAAGGAAAAATGTTCTGTGCAATCTTTCTTTGTCAGTTGAGACAGGAAAGACATTTTTTTTCTTAAAAGCTATACACATCCTGTTCTGATCTGTGGAAGTAAATCATGGACAGTTGATCGATTAGGGACAATTTTTTTAGAAGCTGCAGCTATGTGGTTTTATAGATGACTGATGAGCATCCTGAACAGATGAAAAGAGTAATGAAGATGACTTGAAAGAAACTGAGTGACAAAGAGAACTGATTGCCTACATCAGAAATAAACAATCTACATTCTTTGGTCATGTTATGAAAAGGAGAAATCTGGAGTACATAGTGACATTAGGAAAGTTGGAGGGGAAAGGGCAGAGGTAGACAGAAAGAGAAGATGCTGTACAGTTTGAAATTATGTATGTGGCAGATCATCTGTGTCAGAATTCATTAAAAGTGCATGAGACAGAAGGCTGTGGATAGACATGATAACCAATGCCACACAGCATGGACTTAAAGAAGATCTGATCAAGGTATGCTCTGTGTTTTTTCTAACTATTGCCCTCTAAACATTGAAACATACACATTTTTGTTTTAAATTCAGATGTTATGGCAGTTAAAATATAGTTGTAGCTTTATTAATCTTATTAAGAATAATTTATTATTATCTTACTTCTCTTAAAATCTTGCATAATTTACTTACAGATTATCCAGCTAGACTGGGAGGCTCCAAGTAGCATATCTCACATGTACATACGAGGGTATAATGTGTACACAAGGCGTGAAGGGGAGGACAGGACAGAGAAACTGTTTGTACGAGGCAGCAGGAGTAAACAGTTTCTTATTGGTAAGAAAGAATTTTTGTCATTGGTAAGCAAGCTACCATAATTGGTAATAAACAGATACCATCAATGATAATAAACAGTTATCACAGTAACCACCATTGCTAATAAACAGATACCATTATTGGTAATAAACAGTTTTCATCATGATTGTTTCAGGCTAGTAAGCTCATGAAAAGTCAAGACACAGATATAGAAACAAGCAAATATATGGATCTATCTTTGCTAGCTAATGAAACAGTCAGAAAAACTAGCTACATTTTAATATCAGTTACAAAGAAAATTAATCTACGCTTTACATCATCTAAAATTTCTTCTTCTTGGTGTTCACTGACTGTGTACAGGGAGCATGCAACAGAACTGCCAGAACTAATTTTCTACAGCCCCCATGGTGGACAGCCCCCAAGTAGAACAGGCATGGAAGGCAAAGAGAGCCGCAGTGAAGCAGCTAAAGAAAGTACGACAGACACCCTCAAGCTCATGAGAGGAAGTGGAGATGGCGGAGATTGTGACAAAAGATAAGGTTGAGGTTTTCAAGCGCTGTGCTGCAGAGGCCAAAAGAGCAAAGTGGGAAACTTTTGTGAATGATATGGGAGGCGATAAAACATTAGGGAAATTCTGGAAACTGCAAAGACAGATGCAAAGAAAAGATCGGCCTATGTAGAGATGATAGTGTGCATATGACAACAGACAAGTAGAAAGGGGAGGCTTTTCTTCATAGGTTTATAGCTCAGACAGATCATAATGATGTAGACATCAGGGATGCAGTTAGAAAGAAGTTAGCTGGCACCTTGAAGAATATGCATTATGAAGACATGATATAAGTGTAAGATAACAAACACATTTTGAAAAAAGCAAAAGACACTGCACCAGAGCCTGATGGAGTCAGGTATGGTCACATGAAAGCTTTGAGCAATGTAGACCTGGCAGAGATGGCTGACTGTTTTAACCAGAGAGCATTAAGACAGCATCAGTACCGCAAGACTGGGTGCACAGCTATCTAATCCCACTACCAAAACCTATTAAAGATCATTCTAAGCTCAGTGGCTTTGGAATCATCACCTTACAAAACACATTTGGGAAGGTCTTAGAGAAGATAGTTGCTGTAAGGCTGCAAGAATTTTTGGAAAGGAGGAATCTTCTCCCAAGAGGTCTGGGAAGCTACAGGCCAGGAAAGGACACATGGGCAAATGCGGCCACTTTTGCTTTTGACGTCTATGAAGGGTTCCAGAACAGACAAAAAACTATGGCGGTAGGACTGGATCTCGGGGATGCTTATAACAGAGTAAGATACGACATCTTAATGACTGCACTGAAAGAGAAGGTGGTCAGTCCATGGCTGGTGAACTGGGTTGCAGCTGTCCTGTATTCATGTCAGGTTTGCTCTCTGAGTGGGCTCATGGACCTCAGAACCATGCACCTTGGCCAAGGATTGCCACAGGGATCCGCCACCTCGCCTGTGCTCTTTAACGTGTATACGAGCAAGATTTCAAGCCTAGAAGCACCAGGAGTTGAAAGGATACTGACTTTTGCGGATGATATACTTGCATATAGGCAGAGGGATGAGAGGGAACAAACAGCCCAGGAACTATAAGCGACAGTAGAAAAAGTGACTGAGTGGTGTACAGCAATGAGGGCTGTCATCTACCCGGAAAAGGCGTCTGTTTTGTGGTTTTCTCTGGACAACAGAATCATTAAAGCTAATGTCCCAAGTCTCACGATAGATGGTAAAAACGTCAACAGAGAGAGCAAACTGAAGTATCTGGGAATTGCATCTGACAGGAGCCTGTCATTTAAGGAGGAGCAGATGGATCACCACAGTCTGGTGAGACTGATGCAGCGGGGAGTGATGAGAGGTTCTGGCAGATGCTCGAGGCTCAGAGGAAAGGCAAGATATACGTTTAATAAGAATGCTGTTGGCACTATTAGTGTCGGAACTCTTCGCTGGCTGCTGAAGATGGGGATGGAGCACTTATGGGAATGCCCCAAGTTCTGTGATGTCGGTTCTTGAATCAAATCAATCAAATCAATCAATCACTGACTGTAAACTCCTGCCAGAAATTCTTGTTCATCCCCTTCTAAACTTTGGTCTTGTTCCAAAACTTGAGTATTGCATGCAGATCCATTTTACAGATCTGGTTTATTTGCATGCACACTGTTGGTTCCTCATCTTTTAGGCAGATCTCTTTGACTTTGAAGGAAACACCCCCCTTCCCCCCCCCCCCCCTTATAGTTAGTCATCTTTTACTATATGCTTGCTGGTGGCACTGGATCTCCCTCCTCTTCCCCATGTAATCATTTTTCTGTAATACAACATCACCAAGGTTTCAAGAAATTGTTTGGCTCATTCATTTTTCTAACCTCCAATGACGTAGATTTATTGCTAAGGTGTTCTTCATTGTATCAAATGCAGTTTTTGCCTGTGGTATTCTGCTTATCTCTGTTAAATATATGAATATATATATATATATATATATATATATATATATATATATATATATATATATATATATATATATATATATATATATATAAATACGAATACAAATAGTGTATAGTGTATAAAAAAACAACAACACTCATTCATAATGTCAAATGTACGCTGAACTTTTACTTCACATAAAGTAGCACAGAATAGTCATCTTCTTCTTTAGCATTTTGAGCCCTTGAGGTTTACTGCTGCAGATATCACTCATCTCCATTCATCTCTCTGACTGGCCTTCACCAGTTTTTTGCAGGTCTGGCTGGACATTGTCTCTGGATCTTCTTTTTTGTCTGCCTTGGGGTCTACGCCCATTCCTCTCTCAGGTGTATACAGTTTTACTTCTCTGTCTTTTGACATTCTTTCAATATGCCCCAACCATTTTAGTCTGTGAGCTCCCATGATGCCAGTGATCAGTAGTGATTTAAACAGATTATGTGTTACGTTGTTGCTTCTCACTCTTCATTCCCAGCTGTTAGCATCTTTGACGGGTCCAAAGATTTGTTGTAAAACTGTTTTTGAAAACCTGTAATAAGGCCTCATCTTTTTTTTTTCTGCTTCACGTTTCAGAGCCATATAAAACGACTGGTCATATCGACATTTTATATATTTTGATCTCAGTGTTGCGAGACAGACACTTTGACTTTAGCAGATGTTGAAGGGCATAGTATACTTTATTTCTAGATACTATTCTAGATTCTATTTCTTCTCTCAGCATGTTGGAGCAGTTGAAGTTTTCACCCAAGTTCTTACATGTTTTCGTTCGTTTCATATTATCAACATGGATGTGGCCGGAGTTTAAATTCTTTCCATGTCTAGTTAGTATTGTTTCAGAATAGTAAAAATTTAAAAACATTTTATGTTTTGCATCCTTCAGTCAGTCTATGGTAACTAATAACTAGGAATTAAAGAATCCTAAGTATTATAACAAGTAACTAAACTTGGAAATTGTCGCTGACAGCTTAGTTAATGCATGAAAGCCTTTTCCATGCCATCAGGCAAATATTTTATATACCAGTTGGCATTCCATGGGTGATGTGGTCAGCATCATGTCAGCCATCTTTACTTTCCAGGACTTTTATCTGGTAACCATATAAGGCTGAGTTGACTTGGGAGGTATGTCATTTTTGAGAGAGAAAAAAAAATCCAGCTCTATTCGCATGTCACCCGATGACCTTCAGCACAGCAGCTCAACCTGACAAGGTGCAGCAAAATATGTCCTCCATTATATTGTGCAGATTTTTGTTTATGTCTCTTTGTTCAAATTTAGAATGGGACACATTGATATAAATATTCATTATCTAAAAGACAGTAGATTATAAATCTATGGTAACTAATAACTAGGAATTAAAGAATCCTAAGTATTATAACAAGTAACTAAACTTGGAAATTGTCGCTTGGACAATTTACGAATTGTCATAATATCCCAGTCATAATCCAGAAGGGTTGCCAAATATATTATTGATACAAGAACTACTATCGCTACATCATTTCTATACTGGGTAATTATTAAATATAACTGTCACAATTCTCAGGACTTGGACGAGATGATACATATTATTTGAAAATCTCAACTTTAATGACTTGGGGATATGAAGCACATTCTCCCTGGATTCGCATTCAAAAGCCATCAGAGGGTATTTATTGCATTGTAATGTACTTTATTGTATTGTATTATACTTTATTGTATTCTTTTATACTTTATTGTATTGTATTTTACTGTACATATTAAAATGTATTGTCTATATTGTAATGTATTGTACTGTTTTGTGATACATTGTTTTGTAATTTTTTGGGTTGTGTTTTTTTTTTATTGCACTATACTGTACTATATTAAACTGTATTGTACCATACTCTACTATCTTACATAGTATTTTCTTGTGTTGTACTGTATTATACTGCATTGTATTGTGTTACTGTACTATATTAGACTGTATTGTACCATACTCTACTATCTTACATAGTATTTTCTTGTGTTATACTGTATTATACTGTATTGTGTTATAATGTATTGTACTATATTGTAATGTATTGTATTGTTTTGTGATGCATTGTATTGTAATATATTGTTTTTTTTTTTATTGTACAATACTGTACTATATTAGATTTATTGTACAAACTGTACTATCTCACGCAGTATTTTCTTGTATTGTACTGTACTATACTGTATTGTGTTGTATTACTGTACTATATTAGACTGTATTGTACCATACTGTACTATCTCACCTAGTATTTTCTTGTGTTGTACTGTATTATACTGCATTGTATTGTGTTACTGTACTATATTAGATTGTATCGCACCATACTGTACTATCTTACCTAGTATTTTCTTGTGTTATGTTGTATTGTATTGTATTGTATTATAATATGCTGTATTATATTTTATTTTTTGTTTTGTATAGTTCGTACCGTATTGTGTGTATTGCACTGCATTGCATTGTTTCATATTGTATTGTTTCTATTGTATTGTACTGCATTGCATTGTATTGTATTAGATTGTACTGTCTTGTGTAAGTTTTTTCATCTGCAAAACCTCTGCAGCTGACTTCCGATATTTTAATTTTGAAAACAGAAAGCTACAGAGAATGATAATTGCCTGTTACAAATACATTTATTTGTCTATGGTCTCTACAGTGTATCTTCCTCCTGGTAAACCAGTCAATGTCACGGCCATAGCTAGGACTCATGGGATAACCCTGTTGTGGGATGCCCCACCCGTACGTCATGAAGACTTACAAAAGCAAAATGTGCCAATAAAGGTAAAATTTTTTTTGTTTCCTCTCTTACTACTGTCCTTACCTGCCTTGTTTTCTTTCTTTCTTTCTTTTTTTCTTTCTTTTTCTTTCTTTCTTTCTTTCTTTCTTTCTTTCTTTCTTTCTTTCTTTCTTTCTTTCTTTCTTTCTTTCTTTCTTTCTTTCTTTCTTTCTTTCTTTCTTTCTTTCTTTCTTTCTTTCTTTCTTTCTTTCTTTCTTTCTTTCTTTCTTTCTTTCTTTCTTTCTTTCTTTCTTTCTTTCTTTCTTTCTTTTCTTTCTTTTTCTTTCTTTCGTTCTTTCTTTCTTTCTTTCTTTCTTTCTTTCTTTCTTTCTTTCTTTCTTTCTTTCTTTCTTTCTTTCTTTCTTTCTTTCTTTCATTCTTTCTTTCTTTCCTTTTTTTCTCTGCTGCTTTCTTCAATACCTCTTCCTTTTCTGCTTTCCTTTCTTCTCCTTTCCTTATTTGCTTATCACTTCTTTTTCTTCCTCATTGCCTCCCATGCTTTCAGCATCTCTTTCTTCCTGCCTTACTCCCAAGTCACAGTGCCCCTTCCCCCTCCAAAGAAACTTGCTATGAGTAACAGAAGGGTCACACCCCTTATTTCCAGTTTCCAAGCTCAGAAGTTAGCTGACTATGCAAGAGTGAAAGAAATTCAGTTCTGAAAGTGAAGACTGTGAGGTCTTATAGCTTATTGGTTAGAAACTCAGTGCCAGCCTAAAGCTCTAAGGTTCTAATCTGCAATGAGGCAGTTTTTTTTTTTTTAAATTAAACTGACTTTGATTTTCAGGTTGACCAAGTATAAAATGGGTGCCAGTTGATGTTTGGGAAGTAAAGATGGTTGGCATGATATTGATCACCTTGCCCTTCGATTACCTATTGGTCCATAAAAAACAGATCTAGCACTATGTGCCCTATGCACCAAAAGCAGGAGAAGGGTTTTTTAATTTTACTTCCCTTGATGTAGACTGCAGTGGATATAGACTGCAGTGGATGCAGACTGCAGTGGATGTGGACTGGCTGAAATTAGATCTAAGTGGATAATGTTTTCTCCATGGCTTTTTAGGTATTTCATTGTCAGACTCTTATGGTCAATGAGCATGTCACAAAGATTGAAAGATTTTTAAAGAGCTACCCGACCCATCAACTTAGTCACCTCTTCTCAGTAACCATTACCTGTATTGGTCCACGGCCACTTATTTAAAACATTCAAGGCTAACCTATTTTCATTGTCAATAGATTTCTAACCAATGTCCGGTTTGATTTGATTTTCATTATAAGTTAAGAGTTTAGGCTTGCTGTATAATGCCAAACTTCTACTTTTATTTTCTAGGGCTACAAAATCGTTTATGGGCCATTAGATGATCCACTTAATATCAGTAGAGCAACACTGGAGGCTGACATGAAGAAGCATATTATTACTGGTTTAAGTAAGTACCTTTCTTTTTCATATTTCTAAGCTACTAAGTACACCAGGTGTACACTGGTGGTCCTTTTACAATATGTCAAGGGCACGCATGGGAATTCCTACTCGAAATAGTCAAAAAGAAGTTTTAATTCTCACATACCTATACAGTTTTTCAGATATCTCAGTGTCCATATATCTTTTTTGAGACAAGAATTTAGTATTAAACTGACTTTGGCATGAAATGAAGTGGCTGAGATAGTTAAATAGATTTATTTCCCGTCCTTTTAGGATGAATTTTTTTTGTTATTTGAAGCCCTACTCTGGCTTTTGCCAGGGGCCGCAATATAGCCTGGCCATAAATATGGCCTAAAGGCAGAACATGGTTTTTGGGACATCTCCAGGGTGATCCTCACCCACATGGTTACACATTGTGACATCAAGTGTTTATCGCTTGTGTGATGTCCTGGTGGGGTAGAAAGTCAGTCAGTCAGTCAGTGGCTGAGATCAGGCTTAGATTTATAATATTTCCTCAGTGGTTTATCTTATTTAGGATGCAGCAGATGTTACTTTAACTCATTCCTTGTAAGATATTATTACTTTAAATAATAAATGCTTTGGTCTGAAAAGTTACATTAACAACCCTATAGAACAGAAGGACTTAAAGTAAGAAATAATGCTGAACAGGGCTTGTTTCCTAGAAACAAGGTGCCAATGTTCACCGCAAAGTGTCTAAATAGGTGCCAGTACTGACAACATTTCACAGAACATCAAAGAATGAAATGGTTTCATCATCTGGTCAGAATGGAACAAAATAACCAGCAGTTAGATCTGACTACATGAGAGCAGCAGGCTACTAGGCAAAAGGCTGACCAAGAAGGAGGTGGGTGGAGGGAGTAGAAGAGACACTACAGAAACACAGTATGACATTAACACAAGTTACAAAACTAGCAGAAGGCAGGAAACTACATACAACTCCTCTCTACATGCTTAACGGCATAAGCAATAGGATAAAAGAAGAAAGAATTTCTCACAGGGGCAATACTCACCATAAACTGTCTTTCACAGAGCTGAGGTGAAAATGATACCCCAGAAAGTTGCCCATACTCTGTATTATTGCATACCACCAGGAAAAAAACACACTACAAAAATAACTGTGAGTGAGTGCAACAACTGAATGTGTCACAAGAAGTTGGACAACTATATCGTGTAATTTGAAACCAGCAAACACAGGTTGAGTTGCTTGGTATCAGGTGAGTTAAGTATTTAATTCTCAATGGACTTGACCCAAATAACCAGGGACAATTACATGCTTTAAGTACAACATAAAAATGTGCTTTATTTCTGATTACTTTTCTAGTGCCCTCCACAAAATACATCATTTCTATTCGAGCCTACAATAACATCGGAGATGGAGAACCTGTCTACACTAGAACCCTAACACAAGGTAACGGGCTACCATTATTACCTGTTATGTGCTTCTTTTTAATTTTTCCTAACTTCTTGTTTGCAATGAACTCCACCTGTGGGTTCCACGGTCCCATTTTATGAGGGGCGGAAACCTATTGGTCGACCTGTTGTTCTCTGACAATGAGGGTTTTGCTAAAAGTTGGATGTGTTCGACCAAAAGGTGCAGATATTGCAGACTAGCTGTAAACCACAATACAGTATGCCAACCCTCCTTTGAGGGCTAATACAGAAGAAGGATAAGTTTGCAGTGACTGTTTTCTGCAGATATTTTTTTTCTGCTTTCAACATTTCGACTCTGTAGTTTGTCTGACAATAAAAGTAACGTACCCTCTTTCAGACCCTAAGCTGTATTGAATACATGGCAGTAATTCTGTACTGGTGTACCACCATCAGCACTTGATGAGTAATATGGTCAACACCAGTCTGGTCTCTTTTACTCTCCAGAAAACTTCAGTTTCCATTATATAAGGGCTGTAAGCCAAGGTCCATAAAAACAGTCCTTGCTTTGATGGGCATTCCAATAGATGAGAAGAACGCTGGCCGGCAGAATGTTGAATGGAGAATAATTGCTCTGTCCCTATCTTCAGCAGCAAATGCAGAGTTTCTACTATGACTGCACCAGTAAAAGTCTGATTAGATATCCATCTTGCCTTTCCCTTGAATGTTGAGCATTGGTCAGATCTCTGGTCACTCCTCAAACTATTCTCCTCAGACCATGATGATCTGTTTGTGCCTCCACACTGTTCATTCACTCACAAACATCCCTAACAACATCTAGCTTGTCATGCATCAGTTCACCATCAAGTGGTGCAGAACTAGCCAGTCTATCTGCCTGTTCTTTTCCCACACACAGGCATGACCTGGAGAAAATATCCAAAGACATTAATTATCTGGAACCTCTGAAGTGATAGTTGCCACTCTGCACAAAGCATACCTATCTTTACTTTTCTCAAGATGCTATGTGAGTCAGTTTCAATCATGACATGTTTGTTATGACTGGTTCTCATGCCAACTGAAGATTGCACTCAGTGCCTCCGCTGTGTCAGGCTGTTTTGCAAATATCTTTCATATCAGGTAAAGTAAAAGACCCTTTCAACATCAGAGATGCATGTGGAAAATAGTGCTGCTATACCTGTAATTTTAAAAAGCATCTGGTTTTAGTCTTAGTTGAGGGTTCAACATAACTGCAATCAGGTTTTCCCATACTTGCTCTGTTCCTGTGCCAGTGCAATTCAAATGAAATGTCTGTCATTATTGCAATTGCAAAACTGGGGAACAAACAACTATTCTCAGAACAATCAGAAATGTGTGCACACAGTAAATGTGTATTTCAGTTGTTGGAGATACCAAAGCTAAGAAACACCAACAGAAATGCAGTTTATCGTTGATGGAAGTAGTTGGGCACGATAGTTTGGTTACTATACACACGTAGAGTTATTACATAGGGCATTTCACCAGCTCACATTTAATCCCACTACCGGCCATGAATACCAAAACACAACCGCTGCACTAATTAAAGGCTTATTACAGGAAAAACACAGCTCACAGTGCTGCAAACAAGCACTAAACTCAATAGCTTCGGCAGCTAAACTGTAGACTACCGTACTTATGTGGAAACTGCATTAGCAACGTGTTGTGGGAAGCAAAAATAACTTCGAAGCTGAACATTCTGCCAAGCCTTTGCTCCATTTAGGCCAGAAATCCAGAGCATCTGGTACTCGATGGGTGACATGGTGAATGTAAAGCCTTTACTTCTCAAGACATTTCCCTGTAACCACTATGTTACATAATATTATGTTATCACAGTTAACATCACTGAGCATTAATCACCAGCATGCTCAGTCGTCCACTGCAGCAGTCACTCCAAGAAATCTCCACTGATTATTTCCATGAGGAGCTGGTTATAATGTCTTCTATCTTGTCCTCACAGTGTTTTACTCCCATGTCACACAACTGTGATAGGTTTCAAGGATTTGTCATTATCCACTAACCTAGTCCATACAGAATTGATAATATCTGTTCTATCCATGTTTTTCCCCACATACATTGGTGCATTGCTTGCTAGTTGGTCTGCCAATTCATTGCTCGCTAGTTGGTCCACAGTTCATTACTTTTCATGCCACAACCATTATAGGTTTTGGTCAGTTTTGCAGAATCATCTTTTATGCAATAAGTTGTTTGTAACTTTTTCTTCTTCCTCCTCCTTCTTTTTTCTTCAAATAACAAACAAAGAAACATTAACAACAATACAAGTTAGTTTCACATCCTTTACAGTTTGTTGCATAACCTACCCCAGAACTGTTTGGCTGTTTATGATTTTACTAGGCAATTTCTTTCTTTCTCAGTATTTTGCCACTGAAGAAAAACACAGCTTAATTAAATATAGATGCTAACATCATGCAGACAACTTTGTGATCAAATTTTTAACCTGGCTATATCCAACTTCTAATGTCAGCCAGTCCTCCAAGCATGGTCCAGAATGCAGTAGCTCGACCTGTGTCTTCTACGGAAATACACGTCCAGTGGGACCCTCCTAAACGAGGTCTAGTAACACAGTATCACATTCGCTACTGGCGACCTGGCCATAAAGACAAACAGAGTGCCTGGTTGGCTGGGAACTTCCAGAATTATGTGGCAGGAAGTTTAAGAAAAAGAAGCAATTACAGGTCAGTTGTATTTGTATCTGTATATTTGGTTGAACATTAACTCTTTCATCACCAAGCACTGTGTGTGGGTTCCATAGCTCAATGTGTTTTTTTTGGTGGGGTGGGGGGGGGGGAAAGAACAGACCTACTGCTGCCCTTGACAAACATGTTTTAAAACCCAACTAAATGAGATTGCTTCCTATGAAGGCGGAGTGTATTGCCTGAAAGGGGAGGAAGCCTCAGTCTGCGTACAAGCACTTCTGAAATTGAGTCCATTTGCACTTGTAATAATCTTATACACGAAAATTGGTTTTACTTTCATTAGAATTTATTTAAAAAAAATAATATTTATTGAACAAAAGCCATGGGCATAATGTTATTTAACACTTTGATTTATATAGATTTTTTTCTCCAAGTTCTTGTTAATAGTGCTTGGATTTGTCTTTCTGTCTTCCTCTTTTCATTCACTCTGGTAGTTAGGGTGGGGTGGGAGAACTTGCCATATTTGAAAAGGAAGGGGGGGGGGCGACCTGAGAAAGGTTAAAAACCACTTCTCTAAAGCAATAATTCAGTTTGTTCAAACGTTTAATTAAAAAACTTATTCTGTCCCATAGCCATGTTTGTCAGACTCTCACGGGCAAGATTGTTGGTGTAATGTACACAAAATTTGGGATAAGACATGACTGATGTAACAACTACTACTAAATACATCACATCATAAAATGTGACTAGAAAGCTCAGTGAAGGAAATGGAAAAAGGCATGCACAAATACAGCCACACGTTTCGACCAAAGTCTTTGTTCATGAAAGTTCTAAACCTAACACAAACTGTGACTGGAAAACTCAGTGGACAAGACAAACAGGGCTTTTGAACATCCAAGGTCAACATGAAACCATGATACCAAGAAATATATAAAGTGGAAAAGAGTGTGGAGGAATACGGACATGAAAGATTATATTAGGAAACAAAATTAAAAATGAAGTGTTTGAAAAGCAGAGGCAGAAATATAAACAAGTTAAATTAATTAAAAAAATTAATTAATTAAAATGTTTTTTTTTTGGTGTTATATTAATTTTCTAATTTTTGTGTTGTTATTATATTTGTTTACATTTTTTCCATTCCCTCCATTGATCTTTCTAGTCAAATTTACTTTCTTCTTCTTTTTTGTTTACTTGAAATAGATTATCTATATCTGCAATGTTGTCTATAGTATGAACTTCACTGTCTTTTGTAATTCACTCAGTGACCTATAAAGTTTGGCTTCAACCAATGTTTCTCTTGGCCAGAAGTTTTGCCTTGGTAGGTTGTATTTTGGGACAGTCTTCGAGGACCTAATCAGTTATCTCAGGTGCCAATCCACATGTGCACATGGCTGATTCTTGAATTTTGTATTGTTTTTAGCACTTCTTATTATCAGTTTGACTGCAATCAATACCCCTATTAAGTTAATCACTTTTGAAATAACAGTTTTCTGGGACAGAAAGAGTTAGATAGGATAGATTAAAAAAAGGTAAAGACGTAACAGAAATCAATAGTGGTAACATGCCATCAAACTGGAACATTATTAAATTGATTAAGTTGAGTGTAACCATGAATAATGATATCACTGTTTGCCGTGACCATGAATATATAAGGAATTAACTGTCAGAAGAGTTAACTCTGCTTCTTATACTTGCCTGCAGGTTTGAGATCATCCCTTACCATGGAGAGTTGCTGGGTGAGGGCATTGTAATATTCTCTCAGACATATGGAGACAAGCCTGACGGTCCTCCTACAGATGTCTCCATACACAGCCATAACTCTAGTGTGAGATTTTAATATTTCTTTGTTTAGTGAGGAAACAAATAATAGATTGTAGAATTACATTTATATTTTGTATAGTATTTTATTTTTTAAATTTCATGTTTATTATATTTTGAGTCACTATAGCCTTTATAGAAGAATCATGAACCCACCAATGACAGATAAAAAAATTATCTCATCTCTTCGTATCTTGATGTATTCTCTGTTAAAATATTTTACCCACACCAGCTTTCTAAGTCTATCACATATTTACCAGAGTCCTATTAGCCAGGACATTATAAATTGACCCAAAATGGCTACTGTGGTGGAAAAGTGGTGGAAAATTTCGAATATCTTGGGTCACTGGTTACCAACAATGGTGACACAATGAAAGAAATTAAACGGCGACTATCAATTGCTCTTCAAAGACTAAAACAACTGAATAAATTATGGAATTGTACAGATAGAATTACAAAGTTCAGATTTTTAAGAGCATGCATCTTTCCCATTGCAACATACGCCTGTGAGACCTGGACACTTACTAAACAAGCGGAACAGCGCATAAATGCATTTGACTATAAATGTTACAGACAGGTTCTAAGAATATCTTGGGTAAAGAAAAGAACAAATGCATCCATACTTCAAGAGCTGAAAATTGAAGAGGGTTGGCTAGTAAAGACAATAAAACAAAGAAAATTGAAATATTTTGGTCACTTGAAACGTCATGGAAGTCTAGAGAGAACAATAATGGAGGGGTATATGCCTGGGAAGAGAGGAAGAGGAAGGCCAAGGAGAAGATGGGTGCAGGATGTGGCAGATGATCTCCAGATGGGTGTATCAGACGCAGGACATCTTGCTCAGGATAGGAAGGTTTTCCGGAGGGTTGTTATGGCAATGAGGTTCCGCGAGGGACATGCTACTGAATGAATGAATGGTGGTCATGGCATAAGGCCACACAATACATCATTCAGTACTAGCAATCCATTCTTGTTTCTTCTACTACACTTTATCCCCCTCATCCCCTAAGAGGCATAGGTCCTCAATCAAAGACGTGAAGTCATCCTCTCCTATGCTATCACATGCAGGTCACCCAGTGTCCTCCCCATCTTTTTAACCTCACTCCCCACTCTCCTTTTCCATGTGTTTTTGGGTCTGCTTTATTTCTATAACCCTGTGGATTTCAAGACAGTGGGATTCTAGTTATACTGGAATTTGTTTCTCATCCAAAGTTACATATTGGACATTCTATCATATCATTTAGTTTCCTCTGTTCTGTGCAGGTACTAGATAAAAATGTGTTTTTGTAAGCAATCCCTTAATTGTCCTAACTCTTTGAGTCCCAGGGGGTTAAGCATCACAGGCCCAAGGGGTAGTAAAAAAGATGTAAAATCAGCGTATCTTGAATTCTGGACTTTAGTCTTGATCCAGAACTTGAGTTTTGCATGCTTTTTTATTTTATAGATCTGACAAATTTTGTAAGCATACTGTTGGTTCCTTGCCTCTCAGGCAGATGCAGTTTTACTTTAAAGCAAACACCCCTAATTAATCAAATTTTATGACATGCTTGTTGGAAGTTGGGTGGGGGCAGTGAGTTTACTCCACCCCTCCCCCCCCCACCCCCAATGGGGCCCAGGAACCCACGCAGGAAATAACACTGTCTTAAAGCCACAAGAACCTTTCCTATGGTAAACCCTTATTTTCTTTAACCTTTACTTCAGGCACTTATAGCAACATGGAAACCTCCCGATCCAGAAAAGTCAAATGGGGACATTACTGAGTACAAGCTTGTACTGCGGGCTAAAGGAGGATCAAGAATCACAAGTTTTACAGTACCAGGGACAGCTAGAAGTTACATTTTCTTGAGTGAGTTCTTTTTGATGAATTATCAGACTGTTTTTGTATCTAATGTTTGCAATTTTTCATTCCTAATTGTCAACTTACCATACATGTTTTGGTCTTCACCAAGACAATATAATGTCCTCACTGACCGCATCCCCCCCCCCCCCCCCCCCCAAGTGCTGACTGGTCTATAAAAATATAGGTCTAGCCCTATACTCCCAATACGCCTATGGGCATGGAAACAGGACTTTAAACCTTTTTTTTATTTTATAGTGTTTCTGTTAAACCCCTTCACACCTAGGTATTTAATTATTTTAATTGCAATTCCTTAGTGTAGGTTGCAGTAACAAATGTGTGGGACAGAAAGAGTTGAACAGTTTTACATTAGGGACAGTTATGGTTGGCTAGCACATTTGTCTGTGGTCAAGTGTTTGAATCCAGCTTATAGCTGTTATTTTTGGCATAATGAAGAGGCCTCCCTGGTAGATCCAGGCTCAGAGATGTAGCAACAAATGTCCTAGGTAGTAAATTGATCAAACCCACTCATGACGGCCAATTGGTCTATAAAAATAAAGATCTAGCACAATACACCTGGAGAAGCAGCCGTTGTGTAGCAGCTAGACGCTTGCCTGCAGATCTGGAGGTCAGGAAATCAAATTCAAATGAAGCTGGAGTTTTTTTTTAAACGACTTTGGCTTCCAGGTTGACCCAGCTTTAAATGGGTACCAGGCAATGTCCTGGGAAGTAAAGGCAGCTGGTATGATGTTGACCACATCACCCAGTGAGTGGCAATTGGTCTATAAAATATAGTTCTAGGACTGAAATTCAAGTATGCATGAAATCGTGGAAAAGGATCCTCTACTTTAGTGTACACCTGAAGCACCAGTGTCTTGAAAGGTATACTTTTCTTGTACTTAGCAAGAGATGGACAGGGTCTGGATACCATGGTTGGTATTTCTGAAGTGATCAGGGCTGACACAGATAGTTTCATTTTTGTGCCAGGGTATGCAGGCATGTAAGGAAATGAGTGAGTTGATAAGCTTGTGGGTAAGCTACTGTGAAGGGTCAACAGGTCATGGAACAGGCTGATATACTGAATGCTCTGTGAGAAGTAGCATATTTGTGAAAACAAGGTATTGACGGGGAATCTGCAGCCATGACCAGACTGCAAAAAAAAAAAAAAAAAAGTAAATTAAAAGGAACATGGCCAGAAAAAAGCACTATGCTAAAAGCCAAAGAAGAATAAGAAACAAACCGAGGACTGGTGTTCTCAGCTGCTACACTATGTGGATTTACCAAGGGGAAGCGATCCGAGCACTTATGGACTGAACGGTTTAATGTGCAATGAGGATAATCTGTTGACTAACTAACTAACTAACATACTTGACGGAATTTATTTTTACAATTAGTTCTGGATATTTTATAAATATTTTTTTTTATATAGTGCTAATTGTTTAAAAAAAAATTATGTGTAATCTGTTGTCTATAAATAGTTATGTCTATTTAGTTCTGTATTCTGAAAATGTAGTTCTGGTTAATTCTCAATGTTTTATAAATATTAAATTCTGTAGAGTGCTAACTTAAAAATAATAATTTCTGTGTAATCTGTGTTCTATAAAAAGTTATGTCTATTTAGTTCTGTCTTATAAACATGTATTTCTGGTTAATTCTCAGTGTTTTATAAATATTTTTTTCTAGTTAGTACTTAGTGTTCTATTAGTTCTTTTTTAGTTCTTACAGTTGTGTAACTTTGTTTACATTTATACTGAGTACTTCGTGTTGATTGTGGCATCCATGGCTTAGGTGTTGCAAGTCTGACTCATAATTCCAACATACCACAATAAAAACATACTGCTGGCTGCGTGAATTTTAATTATGGTATAGGGCATTGCAGGTTGACCCAGCCTAAAATGGGTATCCGGATGTATGTCCTGAGGAAGTTAAAATGGCCGGCGTAGTGCTGACCACATTACCCACCTAGTGCCAATTAGTTTGTAAAGATATGGGTGCTTTTCCCATATGACCGATACGCCTAAAGGGGTGAAAACTGATCTTTACTTTTACTTTACTTGGGGTTAATTAAACACTTATTTCTATTAAGTTCCCAGTATTCTGTTAATATTTATTTCTATTTATATTAGGTGTTTTGTATTCTATAGATATGTACCTCTATTTATATTGAGTGTTTGGTATTCTACATATATTTTTGTCTATTTATTTTAAATGCTAAGAGTTTTATAAAAATATCAAATCATATATCCAGCACATATTTATTTTTAGTATTTACTATTCTGTATATATTTTTCTTATCTTCTTGACTCCCAGGTCGACCCAGCCTTGAGTGGGTACCTGGTATAGTCCCAGGAAGTAAAGGTGGCTGGCATGATGATGACCACATCACCCATCTTTAGCTGATTGGTCTATAAAAATATAGGTCTAGCCCTATATGCCCTAGATGCCTAAAGGCATGGAAAAGGGACCTTTACTTTTTTTTAACTTACTTATATACTTTTCTCTATATATATGATGTACTCTGTGTTTTATCAAAATGTGAGTCTACTATCAAAACATCCCAAGCCTTTACTTTTTCTTTCTTCCGTAATAACATTAGAATGTTTATTTGAAGTCACTATTGAACTGTTTTAGTAATTATATTTTCTTGTTTATTCTCACCAAAACCAACAGTGAAACAGAACAGACTGCATCAGAACTTTGTGGAAAGTGTTGACCAGGCTGAGGAAGATGTTGAATATTTGGGTAAGTTTTTCTATCTTTAGAATCGGAGTTTACAGGTAAGCCATCTTATCTATGCGCTACCAGTGGACATGAGGAAGGAAAAAAAAAACCAGTAACATTGTCACAATAGGCAACCAAGAAGAGTTGGCAAGGTACTGTTTACAGCAAAATCGTCACACGGGGCACCCTGGGCAGTTGCATCCAGTGTCCCATAAGCATAGGGGCTGCATGCTAAATTATGCACAGTTTATAAGTTAACACATATTTCTTTCAGTAGTTGTGCAGGCAGGGTCTAGTGCACTCAATTTCCTAGGGGCCTGTAATTCTGTTAAGATGGCACTGGCTGTGCATATGGCTTTTTTTTACCCCACCAGGTTTCTACTTTTAACATTGGACTATCCTGCAACTTACAGGGTCACATCTTAAATGAAACATCAACAGGGCAAATTGAGGGGGGTAGGGTACTCAGGGTACCACTGCCTCTCTAACAAGCATGTCATAAAAAGCAACTAATCAGAGGTGTTTTCTTCAAGACTTGACTGTATATCTGCCTTAGAGGTGAGGAACCAACAGTCTGCATACATGTAAGCCATGTCTGTAAAATGAATGTGCATGCAAAACTATAGTTGGGGTATAAGACTAAAGTTCTGAGGTGGATGAACAACCAGAACTTTCTGCTCGGATATACAGCCAGTGAATAGTAGTAGTAGTACTTTTACCCCACCAGGACATCACACAAGCGATAAACACCCGATGACACAAAGTGCCACCATGTGGATGAGCATCACCCTTGGAGAGGTCCCAGAAACCGCATTCAGCCATTAGGCCATATTATTGGCCGTGCCTATATTGCGGCCCCTGACAAGAGCTAGGGTAGGGCTTCAAAATAACGAAAAATTGCATCCCCCAAGGGAATGACTAAGGTTACAGTCAGTGAACACTAAAAATAAGAAGAAGAATAAACAATGAGTGAATCTAAAAGGGACTTGGCTCAAGTTTCTCAAATATGTATGCTCCATTTTTAGTTTTTCAGCAGAATTCTAAAATACCATGTTTATTTCAAAATGACACATGGAAATAAGTGCATCATTTTGTTTTCATTTAAGATATACCGTCATCAAGAACATATAAGTTTCGGATGGCTGCCATGACAGTTAATGGAACAGGAGTTTATTCCCCTTGGATCGACTGTGCAGTGTCATCACGTGAGTTAATGTTTCTTGAATTTACTTCTTGATTTCTTCCTACAGTGGTTTCATGAATTTTGTATATAAATGGAAATGATTAAATTACCCTAAAGCTGTAAATATGCTAACAAATAGAAAAGTGAGCCTGTTATACATGTTTACAGGGGCACTGATAGAAAGAAAATATGTAGGTAGGTAGTTGTACCCCGCCAGGATATCACCCAAGCGATAAACCCCCGGTGACACAAAGTGCCACCATGCAGATGAGGATCACCTGTGGAGAGGTCACAGAAACCCCTTTCAGCCTTGAAGCCATATATTTATTTGGCATTGCTATATTCAGGGCCCCTGGCAAAAGCCAGGGAAGGGGTTGGGAAGGGGGGGGGGGGGTCTTCAACCGACAACAAAATTGCATCCCATATGGGGACAACTGTTTGAAGAAAATACTAGGGGAGGGGCTTAAGCAAGTGCCTAATAATCATAAGAGTAATAACAATTCAATATTAATGTGCTAAAATAGGAATAAATAAAAACATTACAAAAAGAAATTCTGTACCTGGTTAGGGAAAGGAGGAGATTAGCCCCTTACAATTTATTGATGGGTGGGGAGGGCTACACCCCCTAAAGTTTTATGGAAAAGGAAGAGAGGTTTAGAGTTAAAGTTGAACTTTATCTCTCCCTCCCTTCCCTTTTCTTTAGACCTCTGATTCTGGTAATTGAATTACCATAATAGTGGCAAGTTGTAATGAAGCAGTTTTCGGCATTCGTGGCTTTGTGTTATGAACACAGTTCATAACCCAATAAAACCCAGTTTGATTCAGCTGGTGGTGATTTTGGCAACAGACTGCCTTGCATTGATTTCACTAATGCTATAGAACACTGACAGTTCAGTGAGGCAATAGCAAACTAATAAACACACAAATTACCCAGTAAAACAGACCAACAAATGCTGAATGCTGAGTCAGCCTTTTGATGTTCTATAAAGAATATGCAACTAATTTTTGTGTTCATTTTTTTAGTGTTTTATCTTTCCTGTTGATTGCTGTTTTTATAAAGGCTTATCACCACAGTTTCTTAAGAAGGAGAACACATTTATTTTAATCCGCCATTCATGGAAATAAAGTGCTGGTACACTGACAAGTGTGAAACATGCTAACTAACATCTAAGCCACAGAATAAGACTTCTTTCATTAAAGAATAATTATATAAATATTTAATTATAACTATTAAAACTATTTTCAGCTGCGGAAAAACCAGGGCCACCTCAAAATTTGTCAGTCTTGGGAACTGAGACATCCTTGACTTTACACTGGAAACCACCACAGTTTACAGGTATGTCCTTTTCAATACTTTTGCACTTCTGATGTTTGGTGTGTTTGTTGTGCGTGTGTGTGAACAGTACCAAAGATGGCAGTTTTATTTTTGTGAACAGTACCAAAAATAGCACAGTCTGTGTTTTGTATGGAATTGGAAAATGTGCTCAAAAGTTACATTTTGTTTATTTGAAGCAATAGCAACCAATTAAACCATAAAGAATAGTCTATGCAATGTATCTACATCATTTGAGATAGAGATTTCTAAAGAGCAATATGAAGCCAACCCTTTCATACAGAAGTCAGACAATCGGCTGAATAGGGAAACAGTTGGTGGAAAAGGAGGGGGGGGGGGGGGGGGGCTGCAGAGATCCGGTTTTTATAGAAGAATTATAGAAAAACCATGAACAGACAAAAAGTGAAATCCAGATATCTCGAAAGCAATTAAACACAAAGATTACCACACTGATGTGGAATTAACAGAATTGATTGTGGCTGCTAGGTTGACCCAGATAAAATGGGTACCAGGTTATGTCCTGGGAAATAGAGGCGGCCAGTGGGAAAATTTAACACATCACCCATCGAGTGCCAAATTGTCTAAAAGCATAGAGGTCTAGCACTACAAGCCCAATGCTTATAAAGTGTGAGAAAGGAAATGTTAAAATTGTTTAGGCTTTTTATAAGAAAGAGAAAGCTGTTGTACATTGTTTTGATGGAAAATTTAAAACAGAAGACAGTTAAGGAGAGACTAGTTCAGTTCAGAATTGGCAGAAGTAACAAGATAGATTAAAAGATATATTTTTGGATGGTATAAGATGATGACATGGAGGAATTTCATCACTAAAATTGATTAAAAACAATACTGAGATTTTGAAGAAATGTAAGTAAAGGTCCCATTTCCTCGCCTATAGGTGTATAGGGAATATAGGGCTAGACCTATATTTTTATAGACCAATCGGCACTTGGGGGGTGATGTGGTCAGCATCATGGCGGCTGCCTTTACTTCGCAGGACTGCATCTGGTACCCACTCAAGGCTGGGTTGACCTGGGAGTCACGGTCATTTTTGAAAAAAAGTCTGGCTCCTTTAGGATGCGAACCCATGACCTACCGATTTGCAGGTGGGCATCTAGTGGCCAACACTACAACGACTCCCCTGACATATAAATGCCTAAGCTTCTTGCAAGATGTAAATTTTGATGATCATTATGAGAAAGTTGTTTGTTAATTTACTGTTATAAGACTATCTTGTATTGCATATTTCAGGGTCCCCTGTTCATGGATACATTGTTGGATATGGACAGTTTATTCCTGAGGTCTACAAACAAATTTTAACTGCTTCACAGACGACTTTCACAATCAAATCACTGAGTAAGCTAAACACAGTTGTTTCTAGCAGTAGGGGCTTGTGGCTAAAATATCTAGTGTTGTTAGGAGGTGTTGCAATTCTGCAGTGCCTATTCACAAGCCACCACCGGTTACTAGGAAAACCAAAAAACATATTTTAGCAATAATTTAAGTTGAGCTGAGTTGAGTTGAGTTAATCTGGTAATCTTAGTTTCAGCTTCATAGCAAACGGGTCACCCCATGGTTGCTCCACTCCTGTGCCAATGAGAAACACACAGAATGTTTATCACAGTCTCTTGTGGAAAGATTGACAGACTGCTGTCTCAGCATATGCACTAGCATACACATGCATACCATAGCCATCCAAAGTGCTAACACAAACAATCTGAGATTAGAAATGCAGTTCATCATGGATGGTAGCAGTAGTCACCAACAGATCAGCAGTTACACATGCAATTAATTTTAATCACATAATGGCACCACCAATATTGTGACATCAGGCATCGCACCATTTTCTAAATCTAAAATTCACACCACCACGTTGGTCACAGTAGAAAAACATTCCAAATGAAATCTGCAGCTCACAGTGTCATGCCATGCACTCAACTCAGAAGCTAGGCGACAAAACTTATTTTCAGTTTACAAATTGATAAAAAATGCACTGGCTACCATCTGGCAGAAGGAAAAAAATTTGACACAGCTCACAACAGTGACCGTGCCTAGCGTCCATTTTGAGTTGTTTAGCTGCGTTAAGAATTGACATACAGCACTTGAGACATTACCATAAGCACTCTGTCACACTAGAGATCTTAGTTTGGCATCCTCAGTGGTGTTCAGAGTCCATCTGCTGTTATGACAGCCTAATTAAAGTGATCTGTATGAGAACTCTAGGACACATGAAGATATCCGTATGTGATTAATATGATCTGTTCAGGTCACCTGCATATCCTTAACACAGTGTTGCACACCAGCCCCATAATTTGTTAGCTGTTTCTGGATTTGTATGGACAATTTACATTCAGCACTTTGCCATTGCTCTTTGAATTGTGAACTCTCCATACCATTACTGAAATTAGTGCAGAGCAGTCTGCCGCCAAATTGTTTACAGCTGAGTCATACTGGATATTTTGGAATTATGGACTGTGTTGATGCATGCCTAGTCATAGTCTCAGACCTACGATCAATTTGTTCTTCTCTTACTTCAGTTACCTCATCAAGATGCTGGTGAGGCAAATGTAAGGATCTTCTGAGTGCTCTTTCTAATGCAGTGTATAAGCTGAACTTCATTTCTTTGAGAATATTCCTTATGCCATAGCTCCATCTTTTGTATGCTATTCTTATTGCTCTGTTTTCATTGTGTTTCTTTTGTATGTCTTTTTTTTTAAAATCAGTTAGTACTATGAAATTCTTTTCAGATTCCCAAACCATCTCATTTGATGCTCTTTAATTTAACAGTATAGTTGGTTTCAGTTATTTTTGTTTAATTTAGAATTTTTTTTTAGATTGATCTCTTCTCGCTACTCTGGCAGCTTTTCTATGATATCTCATCTCTGTTATGAGTTTTTACCCATTATTTGTAGTAAGAGTCCATGTTTAAGATTGGTAATGTAATGATGAGGATCCCTTACCCCCCCCCCCCCACCACCCCTTCCAAAGACAACTAACAACTGTGCCACTTCATCTCTCTCACTCTGCCCTAGAGTAAGCATATTTGTATATTTGTATTCAACATCTATCTGTAGGAACAAGTGAACTTAAACAAGCCACCAACTAGCTGAAATTGTTTAGTGTATATTCCTGTAGGTATTTCTTTTCTATGCTTCTGTAAGTGGCAAAAAATATACTTAAAATTTGAACAATGAAAAAGTATTTGCCTGTTTTACCACATGTATCTGAGCAAAAAAGACATGGTCGTAAATCTGTGTCTGCCCAGGTAAGACAGGCAGTCACTTTGAGAGTCATCAGTTTGCTATATTAGTTGTTACAAATTCATTTAATTCCTTCATAGTTCATTTCAGTCTAAGGAGAATCGTGCTGCGAGGAGTTACCTGGGGATCTGTCCTACACTCAACTCTCAGGTGAAGGATGAGATGGATATACAATCAGATGGTTACTGGTACCATTAGATTTGGAACTCTCCGTTTGATGCTGAAGATGGGGACTAGGCACTTATGGGAGTGTCCCAAGTGCTGTGATGTCGATTCTCAATTCAACATTGAACATATTTAATTCCTTCATTTTTTTTTCAATCGTTGCTATAGTATACACCTGATAATATACAGCAAAATATGCAAGGCGATTTACTGTGCAGTCTGTTGTTTGCATCTTCTTTGTTCAAAATGTGTAACAGGAAAACATTGCTTTCATATTTAAGTTATTTGTTTTTATTTCAATGGTCTCAATAGTTAGTTTCCCAATGATTAAACATTTTATGAACTGTATGAATTTTCAGAACCAGATTCAGAATACATCACAAGTGTAAGAGCTTTCAATCACATTGGAGAGAGCTCACCAGCATTCAGCATTGTCAGGACAAGAACAAGTAAGTTAGCCAGTAGCTGAAAATTTAACTCTTTGGGTCTCAGAAAGTTAAACACAAGATGCCAAAGAGGAGATATAATTATTGTAAAAAAAAAAAAAAAAGGAACAATTACACCACTTTTGTCACCTTGGAAACTTGCCTAGTTGATAGTTAAGGCATTTTCAGCTCAACAGTAATCAATGCTCAGTATCCTTTCTTCTAGTATCTTCTTCTTCAGAATTCCCTAACACTGGAGTTCATTGCTGCAAATATCATCTACCTCCTTTTATCTATGATTTATATACTCTCTCCAGATAGTGACTCTAAGTGCTTGTAGTTAATAGGGAATATGTGTTTAATACCAGAACCACATCTGATATAAATGTCAGTTTTGTGTGTGGTTTTCTGATATTGTCATTGTCTGTGGCTTAGGGGCTTATGAAAAATTTTATAATTCTGATATATGGGTTGTAGGTTCACCTGCAGGCCACTGGGTAGTAAACTATATTGTAAGACATGCATAATAAGTAGACGGTTAAAAAGAAAAAGAAAAAAAAAAGAACCTATTTGCAGAGGAAAGGGGGAAATTTGAGAATAATGCACAGAATATAGTCCCTGGTACTTATCATGAACCCGCCCACATGGCGAGATTTCCTTCCCTTCCCGCATTCATGCTGTGGCAGGTCACATGGCCTGTCCTATGTTGTGGGTGTGTCAAGTATTCCTTATTTTTTAAGGGTTTTATCGTTATCTCTTTTGTTGCCATTGGTCACTTGCCTTATAATTCCATGTTGTGTTACTTGTACAATGGTTCGGGAGTTAAGGAACTATGATGTTTTTGTACTCTTATGTTCCTTGTCGGTGGTTTCTTTTTCAGGGGGGGGGGGAGGGGGGGGGGCACCGGGGGGCCAAGGAATCAAGAAATACAAAACATTCCAGTTTCAATACTCACGAACAGTCCCGCCTCCAGCGCTTCCCCCTACAGTAATTATAACTTGTACACAGATGCCTCTGGCACCTCAAAGAGACTCATGACATCACAACTTCTCACAAAAATTATATAACGCAAGCAAATGCAGAACAAAACCATCTCATAAAACCCCCACTAAAAAGAACAGGCCGTGAGACCTGCTGCAGCATGAATGAGAAGGAAAGGAACTCTCCTAGTCACAAATAGAAAACCAGATGTGGCAGTGCTCCATGAGACAGGTGAAAAATGTATTCTTATCCCAGAAATTTCATGTGGGCAGTCAATATTAAGTAAGTCAGTAAAGTAAGTACAGGACCCTTTTCTACACCTTTAGTCGTATAGGGCATATACGGCTAGACCTATATTTTATAGACCAATTGGCACAAGATGGGTGATGTGGTCAGCATCATGCCGGCCACCTTTACTTCCTAGGACTGTACCTGGTACCCACTCAAGACTGGGTCAACCTAGGAGCCAAGGTCTCCGCCAGGGAGCAAACCCATGACCTTCCAATCCGCAGGGGAGCGTCTAGCCTCTCTGCTACTGCAACTCCTGCAGTCTATATTATTATGAGATAAAGAAAAGACAGGCAAATTCAGTGGTAATTAGCGAGACTGAAGGACAGAGTAAGGGGACAATAAATAACTAAATTGTTCGCTACATAGGAAGCCATTTTGGAGAACCCATCTACAGGCCTGATGTTCATAAATTTTTACACCCGCTTCCAGTCAGATTTCTATTTAAAAAATGGCCTTGCTTCCCAGGTTTAGCAAGCCTAAAATAAGTACCAGAAAGTGTCATGGGAAATAAAAGTGGCTGATGTGTTGCTGACCACATCATCCACTGAGTGCCAATTGGTCTCTAGAATACAGGTCTAGCACTATATTCCTAATTTGCCTAAGAACTTAGAAAAATGTATTTACTTTACTTGTACTTTTCTTGGGCACTGGCTGAGGTTTGACAAGAACACTGACCTTATCAGTGATTCTAGTGATCATGTGGGTGCATGGTTGTCTACACTTATAGGTAGAGCTGAGTATGATGATGTCAGTTGTACTACATTCTATTTATTAAAGATAGGCCATTTCAGTAAAAGGTCTTTATCAGCTGACAATAACAGACTACATACTAAAATGAAGAATGAAAATATAAAGTAGTGACATTTAGGCATAACAATATTTTGTAACCATGCAAAATAAAAATACACATGAAGATGGAAATACAAAATGCAGTACTTACTGCAGTAGAAAAAGAATTGTAATTTTTTAAAAACATGACTAACATTTCATGTTTTTCCATTATTTACATTTTCATTTTCGGTTTTACTGCAATTTATCCCATTATATATATATATATATATATATATATATATATATATATATATATATATATACACCCACACACATATATATATATATCCAGTAGCACCATTGATCACCGGCCTGCTTGCTCCAGTTAAACTTGTGGTTCAGTCAGCAAGTCCCACTTCACTTCTTCTCTCATGGGTGGACCCTGGTCTCAATGGAAATCAGAAGAAATCAGATGGACGGGCTTATCTTGTAAGTATTCATCTATAGATAACATCATGTTGGCTTTTCTATTGCTTTATAATAAAGTAATAATTATATTTAATAGGGTTTCTAGGAATTGTATCTGTTTGATTCTCATTCTTGAGATGTTAGTCCTAAAGACTGCAATTATAGATTAAGAGAAACAGCAATAAAAATACAGAGGTTCTAGTAAACTTGGATTGAAAAAAGAATTGCTGAAAGGCAAAAAAATGAAATGTTTTGACTACATTTTTAGAAATAATTTGAAGCGGCTGGCTAATTGGTTTGAGTGTTAGGCTCTTGATGTTGGAGACCAACATTTTTTCCTCTGTTAGCGATGGAGATTTATTTCTGTCAGGGTGCAAAAATATCAATAGATTAGAATAGAGACTTCGTTTTTACTTCCTCTTTTACTGCTTAGGGTGTCGAGGGAGATGTAAGGTTCTGCTTAGGGTGTCGAGGGAGATGTAAGGTTCTGCTTAGGGTGTCGAGGGAGATGTAAAGTTCTGCTTCTTGCTCTCCTGGAGGCATCAACCATAGACACATTGTGCTGTTTTCTCTGATTTTACCTTTCCATCTTGTTCTTGGTTTACCTTGAACACATTGTGACTGGCTTAGCAAGCTAGCAGTGGATTTATTATAGCTCCAGAAAATACAGTGAGATACCACCCATGAGAGAGGAAAAGAATAGGACAGAGTAACAGAAGAATATGATAGGAAAAGTCCAGAAACATATACAATGTTTAGAGTAACCAATAAATACTGGTACTGAAAGAGTTGTTGGCGTCTGTGGCTAAGGCGTTGTGAACGGGCTTTGTAATGCCGGTGTGCCAGGTTCGATTCCAGCTGCGGGCTCTGTGCCTTGCTTTGGTTTCGACAGTGGCAATGGCAAACTACTGGATGTAAATTTGCCTAGAAAAACCACAACAGCCAAAAAATGCTGGGGTTGGTTCTGCAAGGTCCTGTTAAGGATATGCAACTAACTAAAAGAGTTAAGTTCAGTTGTTGAGAATCTTCAGTTGTTTATTCTGTCTCTTGCAAATATGGAATAATCAGGCATCATCGTATCTTTCTGCTACTGTTAGTGTGAGCGTTGAGCTAATAACTGAAATCCCACCACTCAGTCCTCATCTTCAGCAGCCAGCAGTGTGTTCCAGTTCTGAAGGTGCCAGCAGCTGTTTGATTTGTATCCATCTGGCATTTTCTTTAAGTAGAGTGTCGACTAGATCCATTCGTCACTCCTAGGTGTACCATTCTCTTCAGCCATAATGATCTGTTTGTGCCTCCAGATTGTTCACTTGCTCCCCAAGGGCCTTGACCACATTTAGCGTGTCATGCATAAATTCACCATCCATTTATGTATAGCTAGACAATCTATCTGCTTGTTCATTTCCCAACACTCCTGCATATACCAGCAGAAAGTATCAAAAAAAATAAATAAAAGCTAACTACCTCAAACCACATTTAGCATGTCATGCATAAATTCACCATCCATTTATGTATAGCTAGCCAGTCTATCTGCTTGTTCATTTCCCAACACTCTTGCATATACCAAAGAAAATATCAAAAAATAAAATAAAAAGGCTAACTACTCGAACCTTGGAAGCGATGCTAGCCACTCTGCATGAAGCATGCCTGTCTCAACCTTTCTTAGCATGCTTTGTGAGTCATTAACAATCATGACATGTGTGTGCAGCTCATTCTCAAGCCAGCTGAAAGCTGCTGTGACTGCCTCCACCTCCATTCTCAAACTAAGTGTTGTAGTATCATACGCTAGACTTTGCTGCACTAAGCATTGTATATTCGCTTTTGCAGTGTACATCCACACACTATTTTTCTGCCTCTCAGCATAGGGCGTATATACAGATAATAAATAACATCATCTGTATGGGAATTATCATGAATCAATTGGTTGAATATATGATTTAAAAAATGTCCCTCATACTATTATAATTACGTTTTAGCCAAATTACTTCTGCTTTTCAGAGCTCCAGTCTCTTTAGATTCATTACTGCAAATGTCACCTACCTCAGTTCATCTCTGAACATAACATGCTTTATTGATGAGATACAACTGCTGTGTGAAAGATGGGAGTTTGGAAGGGCCGAATGTAAGACAGGCCTGCGTGCCTAATTTGTAACCCTTTGAAAATAAAGTTTGTTTGTTCGTTCGTTTATTCTGTGATTGTCCTTCTGTTTCCTTTTGGTGACTCAAAGTGTTTGCATCATCTCTCCACGACTTCCTGATCTACCTCATGGTTACTTTTATTCATCTCTTTTTATCTCTGTTTTCTCTTTCTAACTGCCCTGAACATCACAGTCTAGTCTATTCAGCCTATTGATGCTAGTAATTAGAGATGATTTAAGCAGTATATGAAATTTGTCTTGCTTCTCACTCTCTATTCTTTACTGTTCTCACCTTTGATGGGTCTAAAGATTTGTTTTAAGACAGGCAGCTGCACCACACAAAATAAGATTGAAATGATAATAAAGTAATAACATTAAAGCACAATAATATTATGTATATATATAAATGTTCAAAAAAAAAAAAAGCATGAAACTGATGGGACTTATTCATATCTCTCTTTCTTTGCATTTGTCTATAGAAATGAAACTGATAATAAAATGCTTCAGTAGAGAGGGAAAAAAAAACAGCAAAATAATTTAAAACAGAAAAGTTTGTTTGGAATCAGACGTAAAGAAACTGAGAAAGTCTGTTTTCTTATGTGCATTGTACTTCATTTCTTATGCAGATAAGATTCTCACCTCTCACTGGGGAGACATACAGCTATGTAAACACCAGCAGCCTTCACCTTGAGTTGTCTAACCTTGAACCTGCCACTAAGTATGAAGTTTCAGTGAAGGTTGTGAGGGGCAATAATTCAAGTTCATGGAGTTTACCGGTTGTCAACTCCACTCAACAGATCGGTTAGATTTAACCTTTCCTTATGTATATTTTCACATCCAAATTTTTACATGTTTGTTTAGTTTTAATAGAAGTAACAACTATCAACATCAAGTCCCTTGCCAACTGGCAGTGGCAATTATATCTATCCACAACCTGTAATTTCTAACAGGGTATATCACTTCCTGTGCTGACACTCCTCTACACAATGATAGAAGGCTGTCAAGAATCTTCTCATCTTGTTTTCCTCTTGCTTTCTTTCTCTTTTCGATAACATGACCATAAATTATGACTGACTCTTTCTGATGTTTATGCTGAGTTGTCTTCAGGCCCTCACCTTTAAAAAAAATTATGGGTTGTTCTTTTTTGGTCGTACAAGGACATTCAAGTGAAAAATTACTTGGAAGCTGTGGAGATGTGGTTTTAAAGACAAATGATGAGAATACCCTAGTCAGATAAAAGGAGCAATGAAAATGTTTTGAAAGAAACTGACTCATGAGGGAACTCACTGCCCACATAATCTTCAGACTTGTCATGAAAAGTAGAAGAGAAGAGTAAATTGTGAAACTAGGAAAGTTGGAGGGAAAGAGATACAGTGGGAGACCAAGAGAGAAGATGCTGTACAGTTTGACACCATAACTTGGAAGATTATCTGTGTCAAAATAGACTGAAAGTACATGAGACAGAAGGTTGTGGACAGCCATGACTACCAAGTCCTCATGTCATGGAGTTTAGGAAGAAGAAGGTGTCAATAAATTGTTTGGTTAATTGATAGTAAGGAAGAAGTAAGAAGTAAATATAGTTTTGGGTACAGATCATGAAGATGCCTGCATCTTGTGACTCACAAGATGTGGGCATCTTTGTGATATGTACCTAGCTTTGTAGCAAATTTGTGTGTGTAAAATTTGAACTTTGGTGGAGATTAGGCCCTCAGTGTGCAATATCCCCAAAGTGAGCACTGGATTCTCCCGTGTGGATTCCGGGGCCCAATTGTGGGGGAAACAAGAAAAAGACCCACTGCCTCCCCAACAATCATGTTGTAGGGGGCTTCCTTCAAAGTGGGAGTGCATCTGCCTGAGTGGCAAAGAACAACTAACTGCACACAAATAAGCTAGTAAAATGGAGGTACACGCAAAACTGAGGCCCTGGCACAAAGTCAGAGTCTAGATGGATAAACAACCAGGACTATCCACCAGAGCTTACAGAAAGTGAACAAAGAAGAAGAAGAAAGAGCACTGGATACTCATATCATTAGCACGCAACCTTCATTGTCTTTTTCTTCTTTGTGCTGACTGGCTGTAAACTCTGGCAAACAATTCTAGTCGTTGAACCACTTGTGGACTTTGATCTTTGACCGTGTTCCAGAACCTAAGTTTTGCATGCACATCCATTATACCCATTATTATTGTATTCAGACTGTTGATTTCCCATCTCTCAAGCATCTTGATGTCTTCTGTGTACGCAGAATTATTAGTTCTTTGCCTCCCATGCAGATGCACTCTGACTTCAAAGGAAACACTCCTAATTAGTTGATTTTTACAGAAGCTTGTTAAAGGGGCAGTGGATCTGTTAACCACCTCCTCTCAGCTGGAGCCCTGGAACCCACACAGATAACCTTCTTTGTAAGAAATAAGCTCAAAGACTCACAAATTGTCACTGGAGTTATATATTCTAAGCCTGAACTGAGAAGTAAAGGGCAGTTCCCTGCTCACCTGCTCACCTGCTCCCTGCTCACTAGGTCTACTGCTCAGTCCTCTGCATCTGATAAACATGTATTCATTATTTTAATTACTTGTAATTTAAGTCTGATGACTTTGTTTATAATAGATCAAGTTTTGAGTCCATGAATATCCTCAGTGTATTCTTCATTTTCCTTCCACTGATTAGACATGGATAATCTGCACAGGGTGCACTAGCCAACCCCATACAACTGACAAGCATTCAGCTGTGTTTAGACCAAAATAAAATATTTTTTTTAGCTTTCTCAGAAACAAGCAGGTATTTCATGAAAGGGTTCTATTTGAAAAAGGTTGTCACACTAAATAAACAATGTTTGAATACGAGAACTTGAAATAGTAACAATATAGTTCACAGAGTTTAAGTTATTGCTTGTTGCTATTATTGTTGTTAGCCCTCTCTTCTTTTCCTTGTATTAGATAGGTTGTTAATTTGTTTTTATTTTTATTTTTTATTATTATGCTTTTTTCCAGTCTAATTAACATTGTTAATGAAATCTTTAAAACAATGATCCACAGCTCCAAGTTCAGCCCCCAAAAACATTATTGTATCCCCACTTCCTCGCAGCCCATCCCTAATCTCTTTGAGGTGGTCCCCACCTAGCTCTCCAAATGGTAAAATTGAAGGTAAATACGGGACCTAATTTTTATAATGCTTTATGTTGTTGTTGTTGTTACCTTTGTTGTTATCTTGATTATGTTATAATATTATGATAATGTAATGGTTAGTGTTCTTGAAACATAGGGATGTTTACTAGTTAACAAAAAGGATGAACACAAATAAAATATTTGACCTTATCAGTTGTTTTTCAGCAAGCACACACAACTTAGGATCTCCAACTCTTGTGTGATTCCAGTGCTAACTTATGGATATGAGAGTTGGAAAGCAACGGTAGCTATAGATAATAATAATAAAAAAATATTAACAAAATTAGACAATTTTGAGAACATATGTCTTAGAAGAATAATATATCTTCACTGGACAGATTTAAGATCCAATTCACAAATAAGACAAGAGACCTAGCAATATGATGTATCCAGTTTTATAAAAAAGTGTCGCTGGAATTACATTGGCCATGCACTCAGAATGGATAAGACCAGATTTCCACAACAAGCCTTCATATGGACACCAGTAGGGAAAAGAACATGGGAAAGACAAAGAGAGACCCTAGGTTTAAGAAGAAAAGCTAACTAACAAATTAGTTGTTTATGATGCTATTGTTGTGTCTGTTGATTAAAAACTAGTTGAAACAACAACCTGTATTTGTGCATGTCTTTCTCTTCCTCTTTTATTGAGCTTACAAATCTGAGTTCCCTGCATGTGTTCTTAGGCCTACATTTGGGGGAGGGGGAAGGGGGGGGGGGGTTAAGAGGAATAAACCTACTGCCCGTAACATGCGTGTTGTAGGAGGTGACTAAACAGAGACTTCCTTCGATGTTGGAATACATCTGCCTGAGAGGCATGGAACCAACAGTCTGCGTACAGATAAGCTAAATTTGTAAGACGCTGTTGCAATAGATCTCAAAGATGCCTATAACGGCATTGACTGCACATATTTTATGCAGTGCATGATGGACTGTGGTTTGAACCCTTGGGTAGCAAACTGGTAGAGGCAGTACTGTTGGAAAGAACAGTGGTATTTTGTATGGGAACATAGAGATAAGATCCAATACACATTTGCCCTCACCTTCCTCAGGGATCACCATTGTCACCTTTCTTGTTTAACATATATACAGCAAGTATGGCAGAAATTGTACCAGGGCAAAAACTTTGACATTTGCAGATGATGTCCTAATATATCAAAGCAGGTCAGACAGGCACGAAATGACAGAGACTTGCAAAGTGCTTTCTCGAGATGACAGAGTCATGTGAACAGACAGGGTCAGGGTGCACACAGAGAAGGCCAGTGTTTTGTGGTGCTCCCCAAATAATGGCATTAAAAAGGAAGACTCACCCAGCATATCCATGAAGGGCATGAATGTTGAAAGAAGAGATAAGCTGAAATACTTGGGTTTGATGTTTGATCACAGTCTGTCCTATAGAAATCACCTGGAGCAGACTGTGATCAAATGTAAGAATGGCCTGACTGCACTGAAGACGAAGTTGGCGACACATGAACAAAGATTATTAGTCTTATTGTTCAACCATTTGGTCCCTTCAGTAATTGATTATGGCCTGGGGATATTAACCCTATCTGCTTCACAGTGTAAAAAGATTGAAAGGATTCAAACTGAACGAATGAGGATCATCTTGGGCTGCACATGAGATACAACAATTAGAACAATGAGGTATATGCTTGGGCTGACATCGGTAAAGTCGAGACTGTCACTGGTGCAAGCCAAGGTCTATATGCAAGCTACCAATGATGAAAGGCATCCGCTGCATGGCAATCTGAAAAATTTAAGAGAAGACGGTTAAAAAGAGGAAAGTCTGGGATAGCAATAGCTGAAGATACCATCCAGATATCGACCCCAGTCAAGCAAATACACAGGGGGTCTGAATGGATCGACACAAACACCCACAACAATAGTTTCCATCAGGTCATTATCACGTTAGGAAAAGAATGTAGAGAGTGGTGTAACAGCAAGGTACAACAACTGATAGATGACAAGGCTGTGCTAGATGATGCAATAGTCTACACCGATGGTTCTTTTCATCGGGGTGTAAGATCTGGCTGGAGATTTTCAGCTAGAATGAAAGGAAGGATTGTGTCAGAACAAAATGGAGCATTTTCATCTCCAACTTCAAGCATGAGGATGGAAGTGGAGCCAATCACTGCAGCTCTGATTGGGATAACAGAAAACAAAGTTACCAGAGGAATTACTGTCTCTGATTCTCAGTCGACACCGCAGACGGTTCAAAATGGACTAATATGGCATGAGATGATACCAATTGCCAGTGCGCTTACATCGCAGGGAATCACTTGTGGATATACTGTCCAGGATATGCAGATGTGCAAAGGAATGAAAGAGCAGATTTTCTGGCTACAAAAGCGAAACCTACGGGAACACTCATACTAGACAAGGGAGATATTCTGAAGGCCATATATGAAAGTATTTTGACAGAAGACACAAGATTAGATTTAAAAAAACACATGTGCAACAACGTGTGAATGAGGAATTAAGTGTGGGTCCAGCAAGAAGATACAAATAAGAGTAAGAGAATGATGTTTGTATAATCAGTGTGCTAATGAGAATTCAGCCATGCCAAACTGCATATGAGTCTTTTTAAAGCAGAACATCTGGGAGAAAGACATGGATAAATTGTTTAGCTCAAAGCTGCAAAAAGATTAAGCAAACCATCGCCCAAGCCACCCAAGAAGTGCAAGAGAAATACATAAAATCACAACGCTGCACTACAACCTGGTATCAGTTAGATGACAAAAGAAGAAGAAGAAGAAGAATCTAGGATATTGTGCAGGAGGTTCCTTATTAGCACTGTTTGTACCATTCTCTCCTGCGTATGTTAATTAGTAAAAATAGAAACAACTTACAAAAATTGTTTACTACTTAGGCTAGTATTTTTTGCTTCATTACTTTGTAAACTATACTCTTTACTGAAAATTTTTTTTTTTAACTATACTTGCCCTGTCTTTTCTAGAATACATAATATATTTAACCTCTGACCCCACACTGGACACAAAACTGTGGGTAGTAATGAGAACAGATAAACAGCAAGTGAAGATAACTGACATCATCCCCCATACAACGTACTACTTCAAACTGCAGGCAAGAAACCAAGCAGGTTATGGGCCCTTGAGTGAAACTGTTGCCTACAACCCCCCTACAGGTCAGTGGATTTTAAAAATATTTCCTTCTCTACTGTGAATCTTGTATAATTCTTTCAGCCCCCTTGGAGCTCTGTGGCCTAGTGCTTAGAAAAATCTTTTGACAGTGTATATTTTTCCATGAATAACACTTATAAAGGAAAACATATTTTAATCACATTCATTATCTAAAACAACCTTGAAGTTTAAACTTGAAAAATTTAATTTGAAAATATGGAAAAACATATCATTTTATACATGAACAAATATGACAAACCTCGATGTATACTAGGGTTTGACTCTTGCAACGGCCAGTGTAGAAAGAGACTGTTTCCAGCTTCCAGACAGTGGTTTGAGAGTCACACCAAGAAAGATATTAAAATTTATAATGGTAGTTAGGTAGGCAGTTGTACCCCACCAGGAAATCACACAAGCGATAAACACCCGGTGACACAAAGTGCCACCATGAAGATGAGGATCACTGTAGAGAGGTCCCAGAAACCCCTTTCAGCATTTAGACCATATTTATAGCTAGGCTTTATTCAGGACCCCGCCAAAAGCCAGGGTGGGGCTTCAAAATAACAAAACATTTCCTTTTATTCATGAATGAATAATCTATAATGAAGAGATAGAAAATGTCACTGATTTTGAATATTTAGGCTTAATTTTATGTGTGTGTGTGCATCCAATCACCACTTCTGCTGTTAATGTTCGTGGGGAGGATAATTTGCAATCCAGTGCACGTTGGCTGCCACTAGCTATTGTCATGCCGTGAAGGCGTAGAGTGTCTTTAATGTTGTTGATCCATGTTTTCCGCGCCCGTCCTCTTGCTCTTGTAGCTGATCTTCTGAGATGTAGTGCTTGTGATGGTATTTGATCTTGCTGCATTCTAACGAGATGGCCAAACCACTTGATCTGCTATTTTTTGATGAATCTAGTACAAGGTGTTGTTCCCACAATTTGCCTGATAGTTTCAGTTTTCCCTCAATCTCGTATGGTTAGGTTGGCTGCTTTTCTCAGGCACCTCATCTCGCAGGTGGTGATTTTGCGTATATGGGCTTCAGATAGTGTCCATGTCTGACACTGGTAGCTTAATGTTGGAATGAATATGCTATTAATAATCTGTCTCTTTTCACTCATAGTTATACTTGGATGTCTTAATAATGGTGACAATTGGTATATAAGTGCACTTGCTTTCTGACATTTGGTTTCTATTTCTCTGTCACTTCTACCATCTTCTGTGATCATACTTCCTAGATATTTAAACTCCCTAACTTGATTCAGGGCAGAACCATTCAGCTGTATGTGTAGTGGGGCAGGGGTTCTACTAACTTGCATTAGGCTTAACAGTGAACACAAATGGTGACTGTATAACACAAAATCAAAAAAAGACTCTCTTTAGCAATGCAGAACTAAACAGCATGAAGAAACTTTTGTTGTGAGTCATGGATGTTTAATCAATCACTGATGCAAAAATCATAAGTTTTTTGACTGATAAAGAGCACTTTGTCCCAAAAACTGAGATATTTTAGCAATGTTGAATGATATGTTGATTTGGAGAGAGTGCTGATGGAGGGCACAGTCTCCAGAAAGTAAGGCAAAGGCAGATTTTTGTGAAAGTGAATACAAGATATTGAAGATGCAATGTCTATGAAAGCACATAGGGCTGGAGAATTGGCTAGAGAAAGAGACATTTTCATTTGTGGCATGACTAGAGTGACATTTTGTAAAGAACCTGTTGATTGATGATGATGGTTTGTCTCTGTGATCTTCTTCTTCAGCATTCCAAGCCCTTAAGGTTCATTGCTGCAGATATCACCCACCTCCACTCATTTCTCTGGTTGGCCTTCTCTTTCCAGCTGCCAACACCAAGTGTTTGCACATCTCTTTACACATTATCTCCATCGTCTTCTTCTTGGTCTGCCTCATGGTCTATGACCATTCATCTCCCTTGTGTGTACAGTTTTTACCTTTCTGTCATCTGACATTCTCTCAATATGTCCCAGCCATTTCAACTTATTACCTCTCATGATGCCAATGATCAGTAGTGATTTAAACAGATTAGGAATGTCTCTGTGATACTTACTTAAAAAAACTTTTTTTCTTTCTTTTTTTATTCCCAGTCTTTTTCTAACCATTATGTTTGATTGTTTACTACAGATATCAGAGCTGCACCAACAAACGTAACAGTGACTGGTCTCTATGGCAACATGTCAAGAACTGTAAAGGTTTCCTGGTCAGTGCCTCAAGTTATCATGGATCAGATTACAGGTTTGTGAGATTTTAATTGTTTAATTATTGATTACTCATTAAAGAATCATAGCATTTTTGGCATGCCAACGGATGCTCAGTCTCCAGTGGCAAATGTTAGGTGTAGATGTTGTTTGTTCTAGTCATAGACTGATTGTAGATGCTGTTTGTTCTAGTTACAGATTGATTGTAGATGCTGTTTATTCTAGTTACAGACTAATTGTAGATGCTGTTTGTTCTAGTTACAGACTGATTGTAGATACTGCTTGTTCTAGTTACAGACCGATTGTAGATGCTGTTTGTTCTAGTACAGACTGATTGTAGATGCTGTTTGTTCTAGTTACAGACTGATTGTAGATGCTGTTTGTTCTAGTTACAGACTGATTGTAGATGCTGTTTGTTCTAGTTACAGACCGATTGTAGATGCTGTTTGTTCTAGTTACAGACTGATTGTAGATGCTGTTTGTTCTAGTTACAGATTGTAGATGCTGTTTGTTCTAGTTACAGACTGATTGTAGATGCTGTTTGTTCTAGTTATAGACCGATTGTAGATGCTGTTTGTACTAGTTACAGACTGTAAGTTAACAGGGGATCTAGCCGATGCTCAACACTCAAGGAAGAGGTGAGTTGGATGCACAATCAGACAGTTACTGGCACCATCAAATTTAAAACTCTTCGCTTGCTGCTGAAGATCGGGACGGAGCGCTTATGGGAGTGTCCTGAGTGCTATGATGTGGATTTAACATTCAACTATTTATTAGCCAGTGAAAATGAGTGACACACCGGACTACAGCTAACTTTGTAACCATTTTGTGGTGGCCCAGTGCTACTGCTTTATGGCTATATGTCTAATTGTAGTTTATGGGATTGTGTCTGTTTGATTCTTATCCTTGAGATGCTAATTGTGTGGACTGAAATCCAGAAGGGGAAAACTTGGGTTATCCTTGAGATGCTAATTGTGTGGACTGAAATCCAGAAGGGGAAAACTTGGGTTATCCTTGAGATGCTAATTGTGTGGACTGAAATCCAGAAGGGGAAAACTTGGGTTATCCTTGAGATGCTAATTGTGTGGACTGAAATCCAGAAGGGGAAAACTTGGGGGGAAAAAAAGGAATGAGATCAGATAAGATCATTGTGTGGAAAGCAAAAGAAGAATATTAAACAGAAGGAGTGTCCTAATACACTTCAGGATATACTAAGGATTGGATTCTAGCAACTATGGTCCCAACCTAATGGTTTGATTAGCAGTGAGAAGGGTTTGTCAACTAACTAGCTACCTGCTGCTATTATGTCGTTATTAACTCTTTGAGTCCCAGGGGGTTTAGCATCAGAAGCCCAAGGGATAGTCAAGAGGGACGTAAAATCGGCGCATCTTGCGTTCATTGGGCTTCTATGAACGCATGATACGTTCCCTGGGACTCAAAGAGTTAATACTGGCTGGTGATGATGATGATGATGATATTGAGAGTACAGAAAATGTTTGTGATGATGATGATATTGATGATGATGTGGATGTTATGATAGTGATGGTGATAACTGTTTTATTTCTGTGCTCAGGATACATGGTGTATTATACTGACAACATTCACGAAGATGCTGACTGGCTGGTTCAAGCAGAGAGAGGACTGGACACAGTAATTGCCGGACTTGACTACAATAAAACCTACTACTTTAAGGTTACCATTGTTTGTCTATAGCCAAATTTTGTTGAAAATGTTCTGTGTTGTTGCTTTTTCTGGGTTGTCTCTTCTCTCTCTATCTTCCATCCACTATCTCTTTCAATTCAGGCAGGCAATTTAACTCGAAATAAGGACATCCAAGGGGAACCCTAAAGTGAACGTTGATAAGAGAGGCCAAAAGTACTTGACTGAATATCATCAATGATATCAAAGTAATTGCAGGATAGAAAGCAGATATAGATTGTGAGCCTTTTGTGAGATTATAGCACTATATTACAATGAATGAGTGGATGCAATATTTCATATGCATACATTGACACACATGCTATATAGCACATTTAGCACACTGGATCCAGTGCCATCTTCACAGCATATTGACCCTGCAGCAAATCAGTGCACTGGACCCTGTCTGCACAATCACTTACAGTGTTAAATATTGGTCTCATGGAACCTTTGTGCTCATAGAACCCTGGACAAATGTCTAGAGTGCCTTTGTGTTAACACACCGTCGACTATATCTCATTGCAATTGACAACGTTTTAACATTAGTGTGTTTTACACTATCAGTATTTTAATGGGTCGGCTCTGTGGTTAAGTCGATGTGAATGCTTCGCTTCATAATGCCGGGATGCTGGGTTCGATCCCAGCTGTGGGCAATGCGCCTTGCGCTGGTTTCGACAGTGGTATCTGGAAAGCCGACCGTCCAGAAAGCAATGGCAAACTACTGGATGTAAATTGCCTAAAGAAACCACACAACAGCTAGGGGCTGTTGGGGTTGGTTCTGCAACGTCCTGTAAATGATACGCAACTAACTTTTTAAAAAGTATTTTATGGGCTTGTTTTAATATGTAGGCTAATGGACTCTAGAACTTCATGACGACTGGCAAGACTGATGGAAAAGAAACAACAACAACAATTCTGTGCTGTCTCCACAATAAAAGCTGGCTGAAGTGTACCCCTGTTGTCTTTGGGAATATTGTGTGGTGAGGCCCCATTCTCATCTGTGGTGAGGTCTCAATATCGTCCGTAGCATGCCTAATGTGCCATTGTATGAAAAACCACGGGAATAACTTATTGAAATGACCACAACAGGAAAGAAACCTTAGTACTCTAGGATCATGAAATTGTTAACCGCTTTTGCTAACTTTTAAGCCATGGAGCCACACAAATGGTCATATGGTTATGTGAAATGGTTATAAACATGACCTCATACACTTATTAGGAGAGTACATGCTACTGTGATAATGTTTCCCTTCTTACAAAATGCTACCTTTGTCTTTGTGATTATTTTAATTTATTATAATTTTTTTGGTCATTATTACCTAATCTCATTTAATTAAACAGAATTGGCTTCCGCAGTATACATTGATGTATATTTTCCCTTGATTGTGTACCTGGTGAATTTATATGTTACTAGGTACAAGCTCGATACTCTGCTGCATATGGACTCTTCAGTAAAACAGCTTCATATATTACAGAGCCACCAAGTATGCCATTTTCATAATTGTTGATCAATTGTTTTGTTGTTATTGACACCTTTCCTTCTTTACATATGATAGTAAAGGGTAAAGTTAAGAGGACTGACTTCATTGCACCAGGTTTTATCCCATATTGCTCAGTCTCTTTCATTAGAACAGCTAGCTGTCTGCTGAGACTTTGCACAGAGTATGATCTGCATAGCTCTAGAGACGATCCGCAGAGATCTCCGTAAAAGTTGCACTCGTAAACTGAACGGCGCCACCATGAAATGAACTTACGACCTTCAGAGCACAAGGCAAATGGCTTGACTGTTTTACCATTGAGACCCTTAGTTATACTGTGCTAAAGAAAGGCATGAGACCCCCACCCCCAGGTAAACATTTCCAAGATCAGTTAACTCATTCACTCCCAGGGGAGCATCTGAGGCCCAAGAGGTAAAAAGAGGAAGGAAATCAGCACATCTTGCATTAAATGGGCTTTGAGGTATGAAAACATCTCACTTGTTCCTTGGGACTGAAAGAGTTGGGGCTATAGATGAAGTTTCTCCTCTCCATAGCACAAAGTCTGGGTTGTATTGTAAAGACCATGTTTTGAACATACAGCAAGATCCCCTCAGCCTCCTTTGTTTATTCCAAAGCAAAAGTAAAATCAGACTGTTTAGAATACTGCTGGAGCTTCTCTCCTAGACCAGATGCTAACCAAGGCTAAGTTCCTTCTCTGTTCCCTACCATAACATTAAGTTTCCAGGTTGCATTGTTGCAGTTAATTTTCCTAGGATATGGTTAGAATCCTCCCCAGTTTGCTTTTCCATCTGTAGCCATCACATTAGCACAATGTGAGATTTAGTGTTAACAGAGAACAAGTAGTAATGTCTACTGTTATATGGTAATTCAGTCATATCTTGCTGAGATTTGGCATGAGACATCGATGTAACTATTGATTAATGCATTACAGTCATTACTGTTTTGTGTTTGTTATCACAGTAGTTTAAAAAAAATTAATTTCAATGTATTGTTATGTTCACAATGGGTTATTATTACTTACACATTAGTTTCTTGTAAGCGTCACACTAGCTTCTAATCTTGTTAACTTAACTTTTTTTTTGGGGGGGGGGGGGGGGGGTGGGGGGGGGGGGGGGGGTTTTTGTTTGTTAACGTTACAATAATTGTCTATCAGCTTCACACTAATTTCTTGCTAGCTTGCAATTAATTTCTTGTTAGCTTCCTATTAGTTTCTTATTAGCTTAACATTAATCTGTGCTACTGTCACATTACATTTTGTTAGCTTCACATTAATTATTTGTTAGATTCCTTTAAAATGCTTCACTTTAGCTTTTTGTCTCTTTATTTTAACTTCACACTAAGTTTTTTTGTGGGTGTGTTTTAGCTTCACATTAGCTTGTTAGTTTCAAATTAGCTTTTTTTGTTAGTTTCACATTAGATTCTTTGTTACTTTACATTATCCTCTTGTTAGCTTCTCTATCAGGACTATTTAACTGAGTTTACTTGGTGGCCAAAATGTTGAAAATGGGCATCGTCACTGTCCAGAAGCCCAAGCCCAAGCAAAGAAAGATCATTAATACAACACACCTGGCAATGATCCAAAGGCCACTTGCTAGGCCTTCACAGGCCAAATCTGGCCCATGGGCCACCAGTTAATAGCCCTGTTCTAGATCATCTTCTTATTGGCTTTAATTAGATTTGTAACAGCTTCACAATAGTTTTCATTTTTTGTTTTGTTTTGCCTACTGTCCATTTATTAACTAACACCCATGATTTACTTTCTAAAATTATAGCAATGGAAACATCCTCTACAGTGCATTCGGATGGTGCAATCAAACAGAGAAGCACCAGCAACCGAGGTGGTGATGATAACAGTGTTAATGATGAAGAGAATGCCTCCTTTGAGGGTAACACCAGCAGCCAAGATATCAATGCAACCGTCAGTGACGGCAGTGTCAACAATAACATCACTGACAAGAACACTGAGGAAAGCACTAGAAAGAACACTGAAGACAGTACTGACAGCAGCAGCACTGTCCTTACACATCAAAACATCACCTCAGACTACGATGATGTTGACTACGAAGGTCTTAAATTTGATGATGACAATGAAGGGAACTTTTCTGACAGTGAAAACATTTATGACAATGCTGAAAATGACAAACACAGTGAAAATTATGGGGAGGATTACAGTGAAAGTTCATTCGAAGATAATCTGAGTGTTTTCTCTGCTACCAACTTGACATCAAATGTTGCAAGTATTCCGAAGGGTCATTTTGATTCTAATAGTGAGGAAGATCAAGACCAACTTGATAATGTTGATAGCGAGACAACAAATATTGCATATGAATATTCCAATACTTTTAACAACACATCCAACATTAGAAACTTGAATTCAAGTCTTGGATACACTTTAGAGAAAATTGGCATAATTGATGTACCAGATGTTAATGGAAACAGCAGCAAGGATGCAGATACAGCAGACAAATCATTTCAGCTGGACTAATACATAAGACTGTGAAGTTGATTACTAAAGATGTTAGAGGGAAAAATTCATGGCAAAAAAGGAAGATGATTTGAAAGTACAGAATGCATGAAGGAGGTATGAAAGAATTTTAAGGGTAAAACTTTTGTTTAGATGAGTCATTGCTGTGAACAGTGAATAATGGATTGATAATGAATAGATGAAGCAACAAGAAACAGTGAATTGGTAAAGAAAAGATGAAGCAACAAGAAACAGTTAATTGGTAAAGAAAAGATATAGCAACAAAGAACAGTGAAGTGATATCAGTTCGAAGATTTAACTGATGGAAGCAGGGTTAGACGACTAAATTATTCAGCAATAGAATAATATTGATTGCTGATTGAAACGGGACTGTAGAGTGATATGAACTGATGATTAAATAGGGGACAGTTGACTGATATGATCTGACATTTTTATAGGGGATATACCACACTGATTTGGTGTAATCTTTTTAATCATCAAAGATAGACCTGGAATATAAGTTGGTGGTTATATTATAAATGGCCAAGATTATACATATGATGCAGTATTCTTCTTCTTTCTACTTTTCTGTACTCCTGGAATGCCTTGCATCATCTAGTAGGAAGAGATCTCTGGAACAGGCATTTTTGTTCATTTTGAATACAGTACTTTTCAGTGTCTTTGGTATTTCTGCAGTCCAACTTCTGTATGGTCGACCTCTAGGCCTGTTACCATTGAATCTATATAACATTGCTCTCTGTGGTGCCCTAACCTGTGCCAATCTTGATACATAGTCAAACCACTTGATCTGCTGTCTATCGATAAAGTTCAGTTTTTGTTCTGTGCGCGGCGTCCGTGGCAAAGGCGTTGCGAGTCTGACTCGAAACCTACGTGGGCTGCGTGAATTTTTATCATGGTATGGGACGTCTCAGGTCGACCCAGCCTCAAATGGGTACCAGGATGGGCTGTCCTGGGGAAAGTAAAGACGGCCGGCGTAATGCTGACCACATTACCCACCGAGTGCCGATTGGTCTGTAAAAATATGGGTGCTCTTCCCATGTGCCCGATGCGCCTAGAGCGTGTAAAGGGATCTTTACTTTTTTATCTTTTACTTTTATTTGTTCTGTGCAGACTCCTCCTGAATATATTATCAACTGTTATTTAGGACTGACAGCTAAAAATACCCAGAAAGTAGAGCACCTTTTGGACATTGTAGTAGAGGAGAGTGCAAAAAAGATGACTCCTGAAGTATCTTGTTCTTCTTCTTTTCTCTACTCCTGGAATGCCTCATGGCATCAGGACTGGAAGAGATCTCTGGAATGGTCCTTCTGTTTGCTTCATGTCTAGTACTTTTCTGCGGTACATGTTCTGCATGGTCGACCTCTGGGTCTGTTAATGTTGTATCTGTATAGCATTGCTGTCTGTGGTGCCCTGTCTGATGCCAGTAGTGTTACATGGCCAATCCATTTGATTTGTTATCTATCTAGAAAGTTCAAAATTGATTCTATGCTCTTTCCTCCTGATATAACTGTTACTAAGTCGATCTTTCCTAGTCAAACATAGCATAGTACCTAAAATTTCATTTCTAATATGACTATTTTCCTTCTGTCTTCTGAAGACTGTGTCAATGTTTGACATTGATAGCATAGGGGTGGTAAGAATATTGTTTTGAACAGTGTTCTTTTAGTGTTCATATTCACATGCTTGCATTTAAAAATTGGTGGCATTTGGCCTAAAACTTGATTAGCTTTATTTCATCTTTGTTGGATTTTTTAAAATAAATGCTTCTGAAGAAAAAAAAATGTTCTTCCTAGATATGCAAAATCCTTTGCCTGCTTTAATGGTGCTCATGAATTTTGATACTGGTGGTTCTTCCTTTTTAAGAAGACAGAAACAATAGTTATAACAAATAAGAAACAAACAACAAAGTGTTAAATTACAATAAAAGACAAAATGTTTAAGCAGGTCAACATGTTCAAATATTTGGGGACAATTAAAACATCCGATGAAAGATGTGCAACATAGATTTAGGTCTAGAACATACCAGGGGAAGTAACACTTTATGGATGACTGGATATTTTTTCTTCTTTTTTATCTGTACAGGTCTAACAGATCTATGTGTCATGTTTTATTGTACTTCTCAAATTTAGTCAGAATATTCTATGGACATTTGGCAACATATATATTTTACTTTCTCCTTTTATAACCTATGCCATATGGCTTTTGTAGTCATATCTAGTGCAATGACTCTCTCAGGCTCTAGTCGCATGCAGCCTTCTCATGCACACTGACAGATAGTTTAACATCGTCTTGAACATGAAACAAGGAATGTTGGTAAAGCCACACCGCTGATCAGAAACAAAATGTTTATTGGTTCCAACAACTGTTTCCTCTGTCAGTCTACCAGAGGTATAAACTTCTATCGTGACCAGATTGGACACACACAAGACATCAATTAATTCAACATTACCTTAATAGGAGTTATTCATCATTCAATCCTTTTCCTGCATACATTATATTTTACGATCAATATCATTCAACCAAACTCAGGCACATAATTTATGCTTAGTAGTTAACCTCATTTACAAATGAAAACATTAATTAACAATCAGAAAATGACCCATTTCATCTATCCACAGCCTTCTGACTTGTTTATTTGTAGTCCTTTCTGACACAGATGATCTTCCATGTCAAACTGTCCAGTTTCTCGCCTCTTAGTCTCCCCCTTCTCTTTACCACTATCGTGATGTATTCCAGGTTTCTTCTTGTCAAAACGTGACCAAAGAGTGAAGATTATATGCTTTTAACGTGGGTAATCAGTTCTCTTCATGAGTTTATTGCTTTCAAGACATCATTACTCTTTTTATCTGCCCAGGGTGTTCTCATGCATAATTCATCTATAGAGCTACATCTCTAACACTTTCACTTAACTTTTTTTCACAAACTGGCTAACTGTCCATGAATCATGTCTATGTATCAGGGTTGAAACTATATCACTCTTAAGAATTCTCCTCTTCACTTTAACTGAAAAATAAAGGAACGACCTCTGTGAAAGTAATCCCACAGTTATTATCCTCATTTCCTGTGAATGCTGATGCTGTGTTCTTATGGGATGAATAAATTGGATCTATAAAACAAAAATGTTGAATCCATGCCTGCAGATCTCAAATTGAAAATGACCTTGGCTGCAGGGTCAACTCATTCTACCAGGCAATGATAACCTGAAAAGTAAAGGCAGCTGTATGATGTTGATCACATCACCCATAGAGTGTTAAATGGTTTATAAAAATATATGTAGCATCATATGCCTGTAGCATCAGTGGTGTAAAAAGAGTCATTTACTTCATTGACAACATGTATGACAGTCCTGTCATTTAACATTTCTGAGTTTAAAAAACTGGCCATCTGCTTAATATTTCTGAATAAAGAGACAGCAATGTATTTTTCTATGGTTATCATCGAAACCACATTATGCTGAAGCTATTTATTGTGTTGAATGCATGTATTGTATGTTTGATCCTTTTTTTTTGGAGGATAGTAAAGATTCTTAGGCCAGGCAGAATGGAAAATGACAGATGGGTAGAAGTTCACAGTTAACACCAGTGCATTGTTAACATGCTTCGTGATGAAAATTTTTGTGTCTGCAATTGATCTTGAGGATTCGAATAACAAGGTGCCTTTTGAATTCCTGATTAGTCAGCTTCTTGGTCTTGGTCTCAGCCCGTTCCTCATTAATTGGATCTCATCGGCTCTCTTCAAGTAGAAGTTGTGGTTAAGTGTGGTAGCTGGGCACTTAAACCAATAACCATGCACCCTGATCAGCCGCTAACCTTTATCCCCAATACTTTTTTGCATTTTCACTATTGTATGCCAATGATGTTTTGGTGTACCATCAAGGTAGAGAACAGAAGCAGGCTGCTGAGGACCTTCAGTCAGAACTTACATAAGCAGGTGGTGGGGTGAAGCCGGAGCGGTCATCAATGTATCAAAGTCAACGGTGACATGGTTTTCACTGAAAAACCATATTATAAACACACCAACACCAACTGTTAAGTCTGTGTTTGGAGATCATGGAGAGAACTCATTCAATGAAGTATTTAGGTCTGTGTTTTGATCACAATCTTGCTTTTAATAAGCATGTCAAGCTTGTTATAATGAAGGCAAAGGGAGGTTTGACGGCGCTAAGGATTATGGCTGCGACAAACTGTGAGCATCGTCAACTATATTTCTGATTCTTTCTGTAATTGAGTACACTCTGGCGATTCTAACTCTTAGCCGTACACAGAGACTAGAATGGATACAGAGTTAGGCCATGCACATCATACTTGGATACACAAAAAATACAGCATGCAGAGCAATGCGTTACATCTTTGATCTTCCAACCATGAAAGTGAGAACATTGAGCTGCCGAGCATGTGCATATCTGCATATCAGTGCTGATACACACTATGCATTACACAGTGAGATTCGCAGGAAGAAGGGTAGCAGGTTAAAAAGAGGAAAATCCAGAGTTGGTCAGGCCAAGGACATTATTCAACACATTTATTCAACTGAGAACATAACATAAATTCTGCTGACGGAGGTGCAGTTATCTACACTGACACATCTCATTTCCCAGGTGTTAATTTTACGTAGGTTAGCCTTTGACAATGTCCAAGTCTTTTGCTGATAGTACAGTGTTGGTATGAATCTACTGTTTATAATCTGTTTCTTGGTGCTCATACCTATATTTGGATGTCTGATAACGATGTCCATTGATATATAAGTGCACTGGCTCATTGGCATCTTGTTTCTATTTCCCGCCATTCTCCCATCCTCCGAGAATATACTTCCTAAATATTTAAATTTTTTAACTTGCTTCAGACAAGTACCATTCAACCCTATATGTACGGTGTGTGAATTACTCAAATTGTCTTGCCCTGATGTGTCTGGTCAATTTATCCCTTCAGATGCTTGGTACTATGTCTTCTTAGCCTGCAGTTCTCCTTCTGTGTTCACACTTTAAATGCAGTTGACATGCA